GACCCACCCAACAGGGTCACTGTCTGGAATAGAGCTAACAGACACTCACTCAAACACCCACCTACTCACCCGCTGACTCACTTCTTAAAGTTAGCCTTATCATTCATAACGGCAGATCTGCTCTACTTAGTGGTGAGGTGGTGAAATGGGGTTTAACGTCGCGTCCAAGATTATTGCACTTATATAGCGACGTGCATGTACGTGTGTGTGTGTTTGTGTGGCTGCTTGAACTAGTCCGGACTGATGCCGATTTATAGTGCTAGCTCACTGAGATACCATGCCGCAGTTTAACATGAATATCCCACTCAGACACAGTATACTGACTCCGAGCCGACCAGTCCTTGTTTTAGCCCCTTAATGCCGAGCGCCAGACAGGGTAACAACAAGTACCATCTTTTAACGTCTTTTGGTATGACGCGGCCGGGAATCGAACCCCGGACCTTCCGCTCTACAACTAGACCACGGAGGCGGTCGCGCACTACTTAGTACCACCATTAGCCTCACTCTGGTTTTACCGGAAATCAACGACATGAGTGCATTGTAGTGATTTTTACGAAACGAGTGTAAGATGGATGCGTCCCTGTATAACATCTCTTTTATTATATATTGATATGGATGCTCCTGAAATCGGGTCGCCGGATTTACAGATCATCAATAATATAATTCACGATAATAAAAATAAATGAAATGTAAGATGAGGAAGTTCTGGGTTTTTCTGCCCTCATGCTATTCTAGAACTAGTCCTGGCATGAAGGATAGGGCGAACAGTCAGCATTGAGCCCTGCAATGTAGCGTGTCAGTGTTGACACAGAACTCAGCGTGTTTAAAGTAGAAATTGTCCGCTCTGTAGACAAGCAAAGTAACTGAATAACATTGAGCTTTGCGGCTTAATCATACCGTAATGTTTATAGTGAATATTTCTGGCGATCTACAGAACTAATTGATTGTTTGTTGTTTAAAGCCGCACTCCAGTAATGTTCCAGCTGTATGACGGCGGCTTATAAATAATCGAGTCTGGACCAGACGAACTAGTGATTGATATTATAAGCAACGCCCCACCCCGTTGGGGGCCATGACACGCAGTTCCTTAAGTGACTGAGCCAGAAACCCGATCCATTTCGCGGCCTCGTACGACCAGCAGAGGTCGCGGGGGGTGTTCTAAATGTCCCACCGGGAGCAGATCAAATTGAGTGAGTGAGTGAGCAAGTGAGCATGGTTTTACGCCGCTTTTAGCAATATTCCAGCAATATCACGGCGGGGGACACCAGAAATGGGGCTTCACATATTGTACCCATGTCGGGAATCGAACCCAGGTCTTCGGCGTGACGAGCGAACGCTTTAACCACTAGGCTACCCGACCGCCCAAAATCAAATTGAACTAGTTGATCAAAACGTGTCCATATAACCCAGAAGGAACCTTAAAGCTGATCATTGCCCATTTCAGCAGACGATCAGACATTGAAAAGAAACGAAGAAATGTCCTTATAAGGTACATAATTCGCTATTATTTCAGACCGACATTAGTAGATTCCATTGTTAGTTTGCCCATATGCCTTAATGGTTGGGGCCGCCTCCGTGGTCTAGTGGTAGAGCGTCTGCCCTGAGAGCGGAGGGTCCAGGTTTGGATCCCCGGCCGCGTCATACCAAAAGACGTTGAACGATGGTACTGCTTGTTATCCCGTCTGCAGTAAGGGGCTTGTTGCGCAGTGGAAGGCCACGACGTTCACACTTCTACCTTTCGTCTCTTCTACTCCACTGGAAATTATACTATTAATGGAAAATAAACGTGATTCTCTTCTTAATGAAAAATAAAGAAACTATGCAAGGTCCATGACCACAAATGCAGAAATGAATAATTTACTATAGGAGCAAGTACACACTTGTCGTTTCTAAGGGCCACGAATATTGTCCCATCTAGTTTATTCCAAGACCACGAATATTGGTCCAACGATAACTAGTTCCTATAAAGACCACGAATATTGGTCAACGACCGTAAAGTGTGTCTTGCTCCAACGAACGAAAAGCCTGCACTGACGATTGCAACGAATCACGTGTCAGCATTCATTTTCTGCACGTGAAACGAGTGCCACGATCTGATTTCCGCGAAGCATGTGGCGTTTGTGCTAAATGTTCATGTAACATGAACCGAAACAATGTTTGTTTTGTTTTTATTATTTTTTCTCCACAACAGGGCTAGAACAAGTACTGGTCAGCTCGGAGTCAGTTTACTGTGAGTGGGGTATCCATGTTAAACTGCGGCATGGTATCTCAGTGGGCTAGCACAATAAATCGGCATTAGTCCGGACTACCACAAGCAGCCATACACGTCGCATGCACGTCGCAATATAAGTGCAATAATTGCGACTTTAAACCCCATTTAACCTCGCCTTAATTGTTTGTGTTTTTTCTTAGTCGAATGTCTCCAGATGTCTAATATAGGTTCGAGTGAAATGAAATGAGTCGTTTTAATTTTTGACCGTTAAGAATACAGCCACGAGACTCGTGTAAATCCTCAGTACATTTATAAATGTTGAAACATAAATGTCACTGATTCAACATCTTCACTCAAGATCATAAACTGTCTGTCGAGCAGATTGAGCCCTCAGTATTGTCATTGGCTATATGGAAGAAATTACAAATGAGTGTTAATTATTTAAGAATTGACTTCAATACATTCAACGTATTTGTTTTCGTTTATCGAATTATGAACGTAAAAAAAACAGTGTGCAAAAATCACTTACCCCCAAAAACTGTAGACGACACAATTTAGTGGCATCGTCCAGCGTAACAATTCAAACCCCGGCCCTCTATTATCAGCTATTCACGAAACAGTAAAACGCTAATAGGCGTAACTGAATTGTTTTAGGCTTATGGCAACCAATAAGAGAAAAAAGGTTGGATAATCAAATACCTTGGGGTCACTTGCAACTTCTTTATTGTGTATTAACAATGCAATATTTTCCCCGTACATATCTTGACCTTGGTTCTGCAGAAACAGGTCCAGGAAGTGGTCGCACCGTGTAACCATCGTGTTTGTTTGTTTGTTTACTGTTTGACGCCACTCTCAACATTATTCAAGCTATATGACGGCGGCCTGGAGATAATTGAGTCTGGACCAGACAATCCAGTGACTGACATCATGAACATTGTTCTACGCAATTTGGATACGATGACATGCATCAACCTATGGTGGCCGAGAGGGGACATCGCTTTCTCGCTAGAAAGCGATGTCCCCTCTCGGCCACCATATCACCAAGTCAGCGAGCCTGACCACCCAATCCCGTTCGTCGCCTCTTCCGACAAGCATAGTCGCCTTTTACGGCAAGCATGGGTTGCTGAAGACCTATTCTACCCCGGACCTTCACGGGTCTCCATGTGTAATCTACCTGTGCTTGGGATTATACGTGCTTCATGTTCCAGTTGGGCACGAAACCGTACTTGGGTAATTTATAATCTACGTTTGTTGAGTTCTGGGTATTGAGTTTAGCACGAAATCAGACTTGAGCGTGAGATTGTACTTAGAAATAACTAAGGGCTTCCATCACCGCACCCCGACATCACGACACGCTGCTTGTGTCGTGTTATCCTGACCTAGACTCGGTTAAATAGTGATGACAAACAGAATAGATGTCCTTCTGACAATGGCAGGTAATTAGGAGTCGGGTGTCATGGCAACTACGGTAATATGGCGTACACGCCTTTGCAGATATTACACGTTTGGCATGTCAACAAGAATTGGTAATTCGATGGTGATGTACTAGATAGGGTATCATAGTTGTGTTTTGAACCTTAAGTTCACAGTTTTTCGGCGACTGTTTTAAGAATGGTAACGTTTTGATAACGTTTGTAATTCTTTTGTCAAATCCAATTTTCAAGCAAATACTTTCTTTTACCCGTCAGTTTAATAATTCCTCATCGTGATGAACAGTTAAGGACCACAGTTCATTATTATGATAGATTGAGTTGAGTTAAACACCGCTTTCATCAGTATTCAAGTTATATCACTTCGTGTCAGCTTCTTGTGGGAGGAAAGCCCGAAGTAATGCAGATCTCAGACGATTACCACTTTGGTGAAATCCACGAGCACTATTAAGATGCTGACAAACCGAGTAACGTTCGGGGCGAACCGGGATTCGAACGCACAATCATAGGTTTCTGGCGTGCCCAAGGGACGCAACTCTGTACAGCTAATTGCGGCCTTAGGCGAAATGGCCACCCGTGTCCCCTACGAGAATTGAACATCTACCAAGCGAAAGTACGGCAGTCTTTTAGAAACCGAAATCAGTTAATGGTGTCTTTAAAATACACACACTACAAGATCAAAGGGGCGGTCGGGTAGCCTAGTGGTTAAAGCGTTCGCTCGTCACGCCGAAGACCCGGGTTCGAATCCCGACATGGGTACAATGTGTGAAGCCCATTTCTGGTGTCCCCCGCCGTGATATTGCTGGAATATTGCTAAAAGCGGCGTAAAACAGAACTCACTCACTCACTCAAGATCAAATATTAATCTATTATTGCCATAACCCTAGGGGATATGTGAGGGACAGTCTTCAAGGGGCCAGAATTCGCTGTGTAGTGTTGCATCCCATAACTATATACCAGGATCCGCCGATCGTGAATTCGAATCCCGGATTCGTTCCTATAATGCGCAGCGGTTTGTCAGAAGCACATACCTGGGCCTCAGTCCCCCGTCAAAAGACTTGCTACAAACCTCGCTGCCAATCACTTACCTTACCAGAAACATTATGGTCGCGCACCACAAAGCCGTCGAGTCTCTCCCACCAACTAACCCACCGACCCCTCTTTCAACCCCGCCCTCCCCTCGTGCTGAAGAGATCCACCTGAATTATTTCCCTTATTTGTAAAGCCCGGTCACGCGAGAGAACCAATATTACCTCACTCCGGGTGAAGGAGGGGCATTGTGTACCCATGTGTACGGGTATCAACCAATCTCATAGTGAGGCGTTTGCACTTAATTACATTCCTTGTGCCATATCCCGTTCTACAAAACACCTGTACCGAGAGCTCACTATTCGAGGGTACGCTCCGCTCATGGTGAGATTGCACGGGGGACGTGAGGACGAGAACTTCAAGTAAGATTTACGTTGATCTCCGAGCTATGTTTATTTGTTTATATACTGAACAATGTTATACTTGCGTAATCCTTCCTCTATAGATATGTACAGTTCACATAAACACATTGTACCAAAGAAATCAAATGCCCTATAGTCTACTACACAACTGCAAACATGGACTCAGAAGTAAGTTGTATTTTACCTCACGATAACAAGGTTAAGGATAAAGATCTAAACTGCATGTGACCCGTGAAGATCCAGGATAGAATAGGTCTTCAGCAACCCATGCCTGCCGTAAAAGACGACTATGCTTGTCGTATGGGCGACTAACGGGATCGGGTGGTCAGGCTCGCTGACTTGGTTGATGCATGTCATCGTATCTCAATTGCGTAGATCGATGCTCATGGTATCAATCACTGGATTGTCTGGTCCAGACTCGATTATTTACAGACCGTCGTCATATAGCTGCAATATTGCTGAGTGCGGCGTTAAACAACAAACCAAACCAACCTAAACTGCAGGGTAACAGAAAGGATCCACCCTTGTCTGATGTTGACTCAAACAGAAACCGACAAGAAACGGTAATTCGATGGGGATGAATTAGATACGGGTATCATAGTTCTGTTTTGGACAAGTTTCTCAGTGTTTTGGCGACTGGTTTAAGAATAGTAACGTTTTGATAACGTTTGTATTTTTTTTGTCAAATCCAATTTTCAACCAAATACTTTCTTTTACCCGTCAGTTTAATAATTCCTCATCGTGATGAACAGTTAAGGACCTCAGTTTATATTAATAATCCTCTGAAACCATTTTACAATTTTGCGCGATAATTATATGATTTCGTTTCATAGAGCTTTATTCATTCTTTAATTGAATCGTCGCTTTTCATGTGTTCTTTTCGAACGTGACCTGTCAACCCGTTTTGAATTACCAATTACATTGTAATCAGGTTAATTATGTCGTGTAGCCATATCAATTATACCCAAGACACCGTTGGTGGAAGTATGATGTTGGCTTGCATTCTGTGCTTACCACGCAACCTTTTCATAACGCCAACGCACAACGTAAGGATAGGTATACGTGTGAAATAGCGTTATAACGAGGTTGGCGTGCATTATTTGTTCCAGTTCCCTTTAGGCTCAATTGACATGTGTAGATACACGTATATCTCTTCTGGCGTCGGATATATACTAGTATGTAGACAAATTCCAAACACGTTTATTTATCTCCACGATCACGATCACCGGCCTAGGTGCGTCACTCACCGGCGACCTACTCAGACTAACCATTCGTGATTTGTGCCAGCTTGGAAATTTACCATAATAAGCGAAGAATTACCATACGTTATCTGAATCGGTCGATTACTCTGTTTTTGTCATAACCGGCTGAAATGTATACCGACGGAATAAATAAGTCGTCAATCACATGATTCAATACAAACCCCGACAAACGAACGCTGTCACAAATGTAGTTCTAACTGATTTCGAAGAGAAGTAATGGCTTATAGTATTTCAGAACACTGAGGCACATAGTGTTATATTTCTTCTAATGGTTGTGCATTTCATTTCGACAGGGCATGTAGAATGTGCGGGGCGACCGGTAGCCTAGTGGTTAAAGCGTTCGCTCGTCACGCTGAAGACCCGGGTTCGATTCCCGACATGGGTACAATGTGTGAAGCCCATTTCTGGTGTCCCCCGCCGTGATATTGCTGGAATATTGCTAAAAGCGGCGTAAAACCAAACTCACTCAAACACTCACTGTAGAATGTGCGCGGAAAGTACTGAGTGAGTGAGTGAGTATGGTTTTCCGCCGCTTTTAGCAACATTCCAGCAATATCACGGCGGGGGACACCTGAAATGGGCTTCAGACATTGTACACATGTCGGGAATCGAACCCGGGTCTTCGGCGTGACGAGCGAACGCTTTCAACACTAGGCTACCCGACCGCCCCCAGAAAGTACTGAACATATGCAGAAGGCATAAAAAACAAAGTAAGAGGGAACGCATTGTCCTTATTTAATTTCCCCACCTTGCTGTGACAGAGAAATCAATCAAATATGAAATATATTATTGTAGCCAATGCTTGATCACAGTGGGACAGAGTGAGTGAGTATTGTTTTATGCCGCTTTTAGCAATATTCCAAGTCAGCAATATCACAGTGGGGGACACCACAAATGGGCTTCACACATTGTACCCATGTCGGGAATCGAACCGAGCGAACACTTTAACCACTAGGCAACCTCCCTGTGGGACAGAGGAATCAGTAAGGAATTGACTATTATTCTTGCGTGTATGGAAGTATTAACGTAGCGGATTAACGCAAAGTGTGCACGACGTTTTCTTATGTTTATAACTCCATAAACGCAAACAAATATGAAATCAATTCCTATAAATAAATACGTCAATAATAATATCTTCACAGACTGAATATTTACTTAATAACACACAAAAAATACAGACAACAATTGAAATCAGTGACATCATTCAGCGCCGTAATACATCACAAGTCCCGCCCATTCTATTTTCCGCCAATCAGACGATTGGTCAAACATTTGCTCATACGGCGTGGCATGCTTCAAATCAATCTCCCAATGACAATTTGAGGAGTCTTGTCCACTCCTGTTGCAGCGCCTGGCCCAGTTCGGCTCACGTAGCGGATGGCCTTTGACGTCGGTAGACACGTCTCCCAATCATGTCCCAGGCGTGCGATACGGTGAGTGAGTGAGTTGGGTTTAACGCCGCTTTTAACATTATTCCAGTTATATCACGGCGTGTCAGCTTAATGTGGGAGGAAAGCCCGAAGTGATGCAGGTCTATGACGTTTGCCACTTCGGAGAAACCCACGAGCACGGGTATGGTGCTGACAAACCTTGAAACATAATCGGGGCGAACCGGGATTCGAACCCACAATCATAGGTTTCTGGCGTGCCCAAGGAACGCAACTCTGCACAGCGAATCGCGGCGCCTTAGACGACTGGGCCACCCGTGCCCCCACGTGCGATACGGGGGATACCTCAGGACTCAGGATACCATTGCATCCTGGTGATGGAGGCAATCAGTTACGATACGTGGACGATGGGCACTAGCGTTACACGGTATCGTCTTGAAAGACAAAACGTTGACCAGCATGGCGCGCAGACGTCACAACTTTTGGCGCCTCAGTATGTTGTCTCGGGATCACCGTCCAGTGACCCTTCCATGGACATTACGCAGTGGCGTACTGAGAGTCATAGTGATACCGCCCCATATCATTACATACCCACCCCAAATCTGCCATGTTGCTTTCGTTGACGTCCGCATGACGTTTTTCGCCCGTCCCCTGCCACGTCCATGCCTATCCAGAAACCATTGCTAAAAAGTTGTATGAAATGGCGAATAATGCAACCCATTCTATTCGATATCACCGTAATGGCCAGCCATAGAGCAACACGTCTTGGGTATGATCGGGAAACATGTCCGCCGACGTCAAAGGTCACACGCTACGTTAGCCAAACTGGGCCAGACGCTGCAAGAGTGGACGGAACTCCTTCTTGTCATCGGGATATTGATTTGGACCATGCCCCGGCGTACAAACGAATGTTTGACCAATCGTACGAGGATATGACCCTTTTCTGATCAAGTCATCTCAAATGTTCATTTTTTGTACTACCCACCCCTCGTCTTCCTTGGTGGTTTCCACCCTTACACTACACAGCAATATGTTCTGTTGATTGTCATGTAATACCTAGTTCTTCCTTCTTCTTATCCGCCCATTATATCACCACTTGATGCCGCTTTGTTTTTTTAATCGCCTGTTATTTTCGAATACTCCAACATTTTCTGGGAGAGTATATATAGCAACAACGGAACATGACTTCCGATTTCTTATACTTTTGGGCGGTCGGGTAGCCTCGTGGTTAAAGCGTTCGCTCGTTATGCCGAAGACCCGGGCTCGATTCCCGACATGGGTACAATGTGTGAAGCCCATTTCTGTGTCCCCCGCCGTGACAATGCTGGAATATTGCTAAAAGCGGCGTAAAACCAGACTCACTCACTCATTCCCTCACTCACTCCATTTTTTAGTGTAAATAGCGCGCAAAAATACACTGACTATAAATGATAAATGACAGACATTGGAGTATATTGCTATAAGTCAGTGGATTGACATTATATGTATATATCTCGTCCATGTAATCTATTTTCAGGTATCACACGAAACTCACTACAAACAATACATCAGCGAGTTGGCTGACGCACATATAGCTGAATAGTTGATTGTATGAACACTCGAGCTGTAGAGGAACGTTTACAGACATTATGCTGTTAATAATGGCGACGAATCGATTTACGCCGCAGGTGATATTTAAAGATTGAACAATTGAGGAACTTGTGTTGCGGATGGAAAAACGTCATGTGCTATCTATTTACAAATCATTAAGGAAAAGGTTGAGGTTGTATTTCTGTCTGGTGTCTTCTCAAACCACTTTGTTATCAGAGCGATAGTGGTATTCACTTCACTCAGTTAAAAGCCTGGCTACGACGCTGCTGATTTATCTGTGTTTTTCACAACTCTGTCTGTCAGGAAGAATTAAAAAAACGATCGATCTACCGTCATTCGTTACGAAATATACACTTTTAGCCATGATAAATGACACTGATAACGGTACAAACAAGATGGCGACCGGAGCAGACGATTGCGGAGATAGCAACTCCAATGTTCTGATGTCAACGTTATTGGACGACGCTATAAAGGAAAGGGATAATAGAGTGTCACCAACTTTGGATGAATGCATACAGCAAGTGGTTTGTACGAACGGATCACGACTGAAGGCGATTAATGGTCTCAAATATAAAATGGCCGCTTCATTTACGAATCAGCTGATGGAGAGGATAATGGCGTCTTGTCCCTCGTGGAGGCGATATGTTGCAAAGCCTAACAGATCTGAAAAAACGGCAGTGCTGTTTAAAGAAGACTTTGGTTCCTTCGTATGCCATGTGCATCTCAGGAGACCGACCCGACTCTCACCATTTGTAGTAAGTGGATTAAAAATGTACATTAGCACTTTACGGCCTGGTCGTGTATTATAGGGGAAGGGGTGAAAGAATGACAAGGGGGTCGCCAAAACATGATGACAGCTATAGGAGGATGGAGCATGAAACATCAAAAGAAATGACAGTTCTTATGGTCATTTATCACGGGGGAGGGTAATGAAAAATATGACATGTATTGGGGGTGGGGGCATGAAAAAAAGTTACATAATAAGGATTGTTGTGGCACAAAAAAGATGCAGTTTTAAGACCAATCTCACAGCATATCGCACCCCACCCTTCACACACACACACACACACACACACACACACACACACACACACATGAACTGTTCATTTATCACGGGGGAGGGTAATGAAAAATATGACATGTATTGGGGGTGGGGGCATGAAAAAAAGTTACATAATAAGGATTGTTGTGGCACAAAAAAGATGCAGTTTTAAGACCAATCTCACAGCATATCGCACCCCACCCTTCACACACACACACACACACACACACACACACACACACACACACACACACACATGAACTGTTCATTTATCATAGGGGAGGGTAATGAAAAATATGACATATATTGGGGGTGGGGGCATGAAAAAAAGTTACATAATAAGGATTGTTGTGGCACAAAAAAGATGCAGTTTTAAGACCAATCTCACAGCATATCGCACCCCACCCTTCACACACACACACACACACACACACACACACACACACACACACATGAACTGTTCATTTATCATAGGGGAGATTAATGAAAAATATGACATGTATTGGGGGTGGGGACATGAAAAAAAGTTACATAATAAGGATTGTTGTGGCACAAAAAAGATGCAGTTTTAAAACCAATCTCACAGCATATCGCACCCCACCCTTCACACACACACACACATGAACTGTTCATTTATCATAGGGGAGGGTAATGAAAAATATGACATGTATTGGGGGTGGGGGCATGAAAAAAAGTTACATAATAAGGATTGTTGTGGCACAAAAAAGATGCAGTTTTAAAACCAATCTCACAGCATATCGCACCCCACCCTTCACACACACACACACACACATGAACTGTTCATTTATCATAGGGGAGGGTAATGAAAAATATGACATGTATTGGGGGTGGGGGCATGAAAAAAAGTTACATTATAAGGATTGTTGTGGCACAAAAAAGATGCAGTTTTAAGACCAATCTCACAGCATATCGCACCCCACCCTTCACACACACACACACACACACACACACACACACACACACACACACACACATGAACTGTTCATTTATCATAGGGGAGGGTAATGAAAAATATGACATGTATTGGGGGTGGGGGCATGAAAAAAGTTACATTATAAGGATTGTTGTGGCACAAAAAAGATGCAGTTTTAAGACCAATCTCACAGCATATCGCACCCCACCCTTCACACACACACACACACACACACACACACACACACACACACACACACACACACACACACACACACACACACACACACACACACACACACACACACACACACACACACACATGAACTGTTCATTTATCATAGGGGAGGGTAATGAAAAATATGACATGTATTGGGGGTGGGGGCATGAAAAAAGTTACATTATAAGGATTGTTGTGGCACAAAAAAGATGCAGTTTTAAGACCAATCTCACAGCATATCGCACCCCACCCTTCACACACACACACACACACACACACACACACACACACACACACACACACATGAACTGTTCATTTATCATAGGGGAGGGTAATGAAAAATATGACATGTATTGGGGGTGGGGGCATGAAAAAAGTTACATTATAAGGATTGTTGTGGCACAAAAAAGATGCAGTTTTAAGACCAATCTCACAGCATATCGCACCCCACCCTTCACACACACACACACACACACACACACACACACACACACACACACACACATGAACTGTTCATTTATCATAGGGGAGGGTAATGAAAAATATGACATGTATTGGGGGTGGGGGCATGAAAAAAGTTACATTATAAGGATTGTTGTGGCACAAAAAAGATGCAGTTTTAAGACCAATCTCACAGCATATCGCACCCCACCCTTCACACACACACACACACACACACACACACACACACACACACACACACACATGAACTGTTCATTTATCATAGGGGAGATTAATGAAAAATATGACATGTATTGGGGGTGGGGGCATGAAAAAAAGTTACATAATAAGGATTGTTGTGGCACAAAAAAGATGCAGTTTTAAGACCAATCTCACAGCATATCGCATCCCACCCGTCACACACACACACACACACACACACACACACACACACACACACACACACACAAGCTGTTCATTTATCATAGGGGAGGGTAATGAAAAATATGACATGTATTGGGGGTGGGGGCATGAAAAAAAGTTACATAATAAGGATTGTTGTGGCACAAAAAAGATGCAGTTTTAAGACCAATCTCACAGCATATCGCACCCCACCCTTCACACACACACACACACACACACACACACACACACACACACACACACACACACACACACACACATGAACTGTTCATTTATCATAGGGGAGGGTAATGAAAAATATGACATGTATTGGGGGTGGGGGCATGAAAAAAAGTTACATAATAAGGATTGTTGTGGCACAAAAAAGATGCAGTTTTAAGACCAATCTCACAGCATATCGCACCCCACCCTTCACACACACACACACACACACACACACACACACACACACACACACACACACACACCTCTTATAATTATCGCATCCAAGGTTACCAGTGTAATATGCACCAGGCTCAGTGGTCTAACATTTAGTCCTAATCTTAGATTTTTCTTATTTAAAGGTATATCAACAAAATCCTAAATATAATCCAAACGGAGCCACCAACAATGCTTAGTGCTAAGGCAATCTAGACTTGCCAAATCATTGTAGACTTGAGTTGGATTCTTTCTTAAATATTCTCTAGGACCTTGGAGGCAGACTATAGGCTCGGGACACATGGCAGTTCTATTTAAAGCCCACTTCGTTTGTCCACTATCTCAAATTGTATGATGTCTATCAATCTAGTAGTTCATGAATATCCAGGATACACATGGGTAAGGGAAAATGGGGTTAAACGTGGCGTTCAAGACTATTGCACTGATATAGCGACGTGCATGCACGTACGCGCGGGTGTGGGTGTACTCGTCCAGACTTATGCCGGCTTTATAGTGCCACGTCACTGAGATACCATGCCGCAGTTTTAACATGAACACCACACTCAGACACAGTATACTGACTCCCAGCCAACCCGTACTTGGTTTGTTCCCTAACAATTATTTATTATTAACAAGTATCATCTTTAAACGTCTTTTGGTATGACGCGGCCGGGGATCGAACCAGCGACCTAGCCACGCTCTCCGGGCAGACGCACTGTCCACTAGACCACGGAGGCGGTCAGTTACCGATGGACTAAGTCGGTTTCACACTTGGTACGAATTACAACGCCTAGACGTTGTCGGGAAATATACATCTAACCATGTAGCAAAGTCTTTAATTTCTCCTTTTCCATGAAGATGCAATGTTTGTTGTTGTTTGTTTGTTGTTTAACGCCGCACTCAGCAATATTCCAGCTATATGACGGTAGTCTGTAAATAATCGAGTCTGGACCAGACAATCCAGTGACTAATATCATGAGCATCGATCCACGCAATGGGATTGATAAGATGCATCAACCAAGTCAGCGAGCCTGACCACCCGATCCCGTTAGTCGCCTTTTACGACAAGCATAGTCACCTTTTACGGCAAGCATGGGTTGCTGAAGACCTATTCTACCCCGGAATCTTCACGGGTCGAAGACGCAAGGTAATTGATCATGTACAACGATGGGTAATCCGGTAGAGGAAGAATGTTTCGCCATGGAACCACAAAACAACTTAAACAACACTCTCTGTCGATATTTACTTCACAAACACTTGTTATGTGGCAGTGAATATTGTAATTTTATTTCTGATGACAGTAAGTGGCAAATTGATTGAGGCGCTTGTATAATGTTGGCCTTGGAAGTGACCTTGATATAGAGTCCCCCCCCCCCCCCCCCCCCCCCCCTTGGTAGTTGACGGTCAGACTCCATCTCCAGACTCCATCCCAGAGAGCTCCATAGTGAGGAACTCGTCCTATCGCGTGTTTACAGTTGTCGTCATTTCTGAAAATTACTACCTGGTTCTCGGTGTGAAAAAAAACCCCTAATATGCTGACTACCTATAAAAGGTGGAAGATGAGGACGAGTTGATACACGCTGCCACATAACACATTGTCTAACCTAACTTGTAAGAAAGTGTTATATTTAACGCGGCTCTTAAAATTCGCATGTTTTTCTAGTTTGAGGGAAGTCGTCTGCCCTCGAATTACGGAAAGGTCAAGGTCAATCCCCGCGACAGCAAGGAACAGCAGATGTCTGTGCTGCAGGAATGGCGGGATTGTGTGGACAAGAATGGGTATCTCAGATCGGACTGTGTGTTGAAGTGGTTTAACAAAGGTATGACTTAGTGCCATGGTAATGTATTATGTTTGTTTAAAGTGATGTGGATTAGAAAGGTGAACATACAACACCCGGTATCGATAACTTGAACGTGACTATGTATAAAGGAAGCCATCGAGCAATATACAACGACTGGAAGACCTGAAATAACACGCGGTCTGGACACGTCACAGTAGAATTCCCTATCTGCACACAACACCAGTTGTTGTTTGTTGTAAACACCTTGTAATAGTCTCGTATTAATCCGACTTACATACATAGCGTTAAACCAGCGGTAGAAACTAACATTTTTGGTCCACTAGTCCTTAAAATGATAACATATAGCAAAACCCTTAAAAATGGCAAATATCTACTAGTCCTTATGATACCTTAACTATTGGGCAGATTGGCAAGGACTATAGGACTAGTGCCAATTTCTAACCCTGGTTAAACCATTTTACTCACTCACTCACCGGTGTTTGTGTTCTCCTGCCAGGTTTGGTGAAGGCGGGGAAGGACATGGCGTCATCGGGCTGCTGGGAACAATTGGAGGTTCAGCACCTTGTGACCGCTGCGGGCGTCGTCATCATGTGTGTCACAGCAACCTCTTCACAAGTCAAGACACAAGAAGATTCAACTCAGTCCTCTCCTGTCTGCTTCAACATCAAGTTCGTCCCTTGCTTAGACTGGGTGAAAGTCCCACCAGGACACATAACCCTCCCCACATCACCGTGTCACCCCTTTCCCCGGATGAAGAAGAGTCTGCAGGAGATGATGAAGAAGGTTGGTAAGAGAGACCGATGTACCCTGGTGCTAGAGGCGATCAAACTCGCCGAATCTGATGAACCATCTCAATGGAGGATGAGTTTGATGAAGTATGACCGTGAGCTTCTGAAACTGATGAACGAACCTTCATTCCCTTTCTTCACTAAAGACTTATTGGTTCTGGTAGAGAGCCTCGTCCAGAGCGGTTCTGTTCCTCTGTCTGCCCTGACCAAGCAAGTGCTCCTGCAGACCCTCCTAAACTCAATACCGAGGTTCCAACACGAGGAGTGTCCCCGGGATGTGATATTCCTTGACATACTTGACAACATGGCCAAATGCTTCTCTGGCAGATACTTGAGGACGTTTCTCATTCCGTCTGTGAACATTTTGAAAGATGTTGAAACCTACGAGATAGAGAGGACGGCGAAAGGTTTAGGCAAGCTCCTGGGGGACCTCAGACAAAGGCCCGAGCTGCTACTGGTTCATGTGGGGCTGTGTACGCGGCTGGAGACGATGACGGGCATGAAGGGCACCCGACGTAGGATGCCAACTGGTCGGCGTTGAGATCTACAATACAGGCCCCGTTCACAAAGTCATCTTAGCGCTAGGTCTGTCGTAAATCTATGTAAATATGGGAGTTACGATCATCTTAGCGCTACGATCGCTTTATGGAACGGGGCCCTGGTCACCAATAAGGCTGTTTCATGACACTCAAGAACAACAGAATTCCGTCGGTGGTAGTTAATATTGTGTATGACAGTGCCTTGATTCGTGCCACTTGTTTCCTAATGGTGCGTTTGGTTAGCCTAATGATCTAACCTTGACTCGTCAAGTCGTAGACCCAGGTTTTATTCCCTGTATGGATGAAATGTGTAAATCCAATGCGATATCAGCTGTCTTGATATGGTTGGAATATTAGTAAAAGTGGCGCTTGACATTACTCACTCATATAATATAATATTTATTGATTTATAGTACTTTATATTGCTATTATTTGCTGGTTTGCGAATGTCATTTACAGAAGGTCCGTGAAGGACTGGGGTAGAATTGGTCAACGGGATCGGGTGGTCAGCCTTGCTGACTTGGTTGATGCATGTCATCGTATACTGATTGTGTCGATCGATGCTCATGATGTCAATCACTGGATTGTCTGGTCCAGACTCGATTTTTTTTTTACAGACCGCCGTCGTATAGCTGGAATATTGCTGAGTGCGGCGTTAAACAACAAAAACCTTTTTTCAGAAGCAATCTAATAATTACATCGTGGATCGATGTCTGTGCTACTATAGTTATTGGTTAGCTTATTCCAGCCTCGACCGAACAAACATCAAATGGGTTTATTTGATCCACAATCAAAGGCAGATGGAAAGAAATCTGTTTTGAAATGTTACAGAAACGACACTATTAGGTCGAATTATCTAATAGTCCGTGTCTGGCTCGCATATATGTTTCTGATATTAAATATAAGGTGAGGTGAGGTGAAAGTGGGTTTAACGTCGCGTCCAAGATATTGCACTTATATAGTGACGTGCATGCACGTGTGTGTGTGTGGCTGCTTGTATTAGTCCGGACTGATGCCGATTTATAGTGCTAGCCCACTGAGATACCATGCCGCAGTTTAACATGAATACCCCACTCAGACACAGTGTACTGACTCCGAGCCGACCAGTCCTAGTTTTAGCCCCTTAATGCCGAGTGCAAGACAGGGTAACAACAAGTACCATCTTTTAACGTCTTTTGGTATGACGCGGCCGGGGATCGAACCCCGGACCTTCCGCTCTCCGGGCGGACGCTCTACCACTAGGTCACGGAGACGGTTATTAAAAATAAACATCGTGGTGCAACAGGGTTGAGCAGTAGGGTAGCACAGTGGTTACAGCGTCACTCATCACACCAAAGGACCTGGTTTTATTTCGCACATCGGTACAATGGTGTCTTCCACGGCAACGTTGCTGGTATATTGCTAAAAGCGGCGTAAAACCATACTTACTCACCCACCGCACGTATAATACCATGTCCGACCCGCGATATGACTTGACAAGAGAATATTGTCGGTTGAGTTATTTGTGGCTAGTTTTCGAAATCTCAAGAAACCAACCTAAAATATCTGTATAGTGATATTGACTGATTAAATACGTTCGTTTCTCTTACTGTCATGCTCTATCTTATATAATCTAGCGTGTAAAAACGTGATGTTCGTGAGTGAGTATTCCAGTTATATCGCGGCGTGTCAGCTTAATGTGGGAGGAAAGCCCGAAGTGATGCAGGTCTAAGACGTTTACCAGTTCGGTGAAACCCACGAGCACGGGTATGGTGCTGACAAACCTAGAAACATAATCGGGGCGAACCGGGATTCGAACCCACAATCATAGGTTTCTGGCGTGCCCAAGGGGCGCAATTCTGCACAGCGAATCGCGGCGCTTTAGACGACTGGGCCACCGGTGCCCCCTTGATGTTCGTGAGACTAGTGGTTATTATAACTGCAACATTTCGTATATTCAAGGCGTGCAATGTTTTGAATAACTCACACATCAGCTGGTGCCTCCAGTACTGTCAGCTGGCACTGCCGGGCAAAAGAAAGTGTACACTTGAAAACTGGATTTGACCAAAAACTTACAATCATGATCAAAACGTTACTAGGCTGAAAACAATCTGCAAGCGTATGGTCCAAAAACACAACTATGATACCTGTATCAAATACGTCACCATCTAATAATCACATCTTGTTTGTTTTATTATTAGCCACCATCAAACATGTGTACATATTTTTTTCGCCCGGTTGTTTATATGACCTCAAATTACAATGCACAAGTTGAAATGCCCAGGATATTCGGATACACAGCCTATTTCAGCGGGCATCAAAGTGACTAGGTATTCTCTGTTGGTGAAAATGGACAAAATTGGCGACCGCGCTGTCACCATGTATCCCCGACTGAAAGGGTAAACTCCAACAGCCATACACGTGGACATGGTGTCAACTTTAGGGGTGCTGCTGCTTCCTTTGCCACGGTTAAGTGAGAGCGGCGGAGTTCAAGAAGGGATCTGATGATGCAAGTCTCAAGATGATGCAAGATCAGGAGGACATTTACTGTATTCGACGTAATAAGCGCCCCGCTCTAATAAACGCCTACGGCGATAATTGCTAATACATTGGCTTGTGAACAATCCCAATAAGCACCCCTTCTGATTGTTTAATGCACACAAGACTTATTTATTCGTGTATAATACGCATTCGTATGTTATATGGACCCTTAAATATGGGTAATTAATTTCTGGAAAATATATCTGCCGTGTAGAATACGCACAGACTTTTCTTTTGTATCATTTCAGGCTGTCAGCATAAACCACGAAATTTACGATCTTTCAACTCTGTTTTTTTTCTCACCAAAATTATATTCTAATAAGAGAACCCTATTTCTAATTTTGAGAGAGCCCCGGGCGCTTATTACTTCGAATGCGATAACTGCTGCTACCAAAATGTTGACAAAATTGGATTAAAAACAATGCCATTGTACAGCATTTATGAAATCCATCAAAGCATACAGAGTTCAGAAAAGCCCGAAGTTCTTGGTTGGCCTAAGCACAGAAGTCTTGATATTGTAGAAGCGATTGAGTAAATATACAAACTTCACAAAAGTGTTTCTGTAAGGTTTGCAATCATTGTTCATGGATGAACGTTATGCATCATACTTAATCTTACATCCACCTGTAAAGAAACGGGTTAGAATAGGTCTTCAGCAACACATGCTTGCCGTAAAAGAAGCGATTAACGGGATCGGGTGGTCAGGCACGCAGACTTGGTTGATGCATATCATCGTTTACCAATTGCGTAGATCGATGCTCATGATGTCAATCATTTGCTTGTCTGGTCCAGATTCGATTATGTACATACCTCCGTCATATTGCTGGAATAATGATGTGTGCGGTGCTAAACAAACAAACAAACAACATCCACTTCAAGATTTCAAGATACAATATATTTTTGGCTGAAGCGGGCATTAGACTCATTACAACGTTCAAGATTTGTTGTAAACGAGAGACATATGGCTGTTTAAACAGACATATTTTGAAAACAAAACTTGTTATATCCGGTGATGCACATATACAACAATGACTTCCTGGAACATCGGTTCCAGAAACATGGGGCGGTCGGGTAGCCTAGTGGTTAAAGCGTTCGCTCGCCACGCGGAAGACCCAGGTTCGATTCCCGACATGGGTACAATGTGTGAATGCCGTGATATTGCTGTAATATTGCTAAAACCGTACTCACTCACTCGCTCATTCAAGGAACAAGGGGTATTAAGTTGACAAATTAGTGGTATACATGATACTGTTGGAATTGATATACGTACAGTGGTAAAATTATTAATATTATTTTCATAATTTCAGGTAACTGGCGCTAATTGCAGAATACCTACCAAAGGCTTTGATGATCTATACCAAATATTTGAAAATTTAAACATATGTCTGGTCGACTATTGAGAGCAAGCTGAACCCGAATACCGACACATTGTGTGGAAAAGGATCTTAGAGGAAAGCACACAAAAAGAAAGAAACCATCAACATAAAGTCATTTTGCAATTAAAAAAAACATTCTTACATTTCTCCAATTTCAAAAGATAAAACATAAGACATAGGTTCGAATCACTTCTCAAAATCAATTTATTTATGAAAAAAAGATAAATACGTATCTTCTGACATGAAATCTCCGGCAAAATGGAACCCGGATACTGTATTGTAAATTTACGAAAATGGGAAAAGTTTTCTTCACAGGTTTAGATCCATATAGTTTCTTAAATATGTTTTATATTTATTAAATTAGAATGACAAATGGACCTGATCTGTCTGCAATCGGCGACTTTACAAAGTTTTTCTCATGGTCAAAGGGAGACAATTCCGTCGATTACATTCCTGGGGTAAGTTTGTGGTCAAAGGGAAGTAATTCAGCTTCTTCATTAGACTATGCTCCCGTCTGGCTAAAAGCGTTTAACTTGGGGCGCGTACGAACAATGGAACCAGTTTACTTGGTAATTTGAAACGGAGTTACGTCCCATGTGCAAACTCCCGTCGAGATTACACACAACCAAATGATTTCCCATAGCCTTCTAAAGTAACGTTATATATTTTTTGTTTTAAAATAAATAAGCATTCAGCAGCTATTACATGCACATGTGTGCACAGTCTGGCCTTCAGGCAGCAATGAAAAAAATGACTAGCTTGGCCAGTTCATTTTCCGAGTACAGGAATCTAAACACACCACCCCCGTTTCCGCACCAAAATGTCACTTGCTTGATATCTGTGGTCACATTTTGCAAAAGTCATCATGTTAAAAAAGACAGCACAAAATATAGAAAACATAGACAATTTCAATTACTGGGTGGGTATACATTTAAAAACTACAAAAATCTTACACTAAATAATCCAGTCACAGCTGTCAGATGATTCATTCTGCACCGAAGGCTCGAAAACTTCTAGTTAGTAACTGGTTCTGATTTGGTGTAGTAGAACCTCGGGGTCTTCGTGCAAACTTCAGACACTGCGTGGTACTTTATAAAAGGGAAGTAACTGTGTTAAGACTTACACTGGTACCCTGTCGTTCTTACGTCAGCAATTTGGCGTTAACTGCTTCCCGAATCCTCCGCTTGGTGTTGTTGCTCTTGTGCTGGCTTCCATCCGACCATGTAGCAAGGGAGATAACCAATATTTTCAAAGCTCCTGCCCAGTGCGCGAATGGGCTATCGCTGAGGAGAGCATGAATTTCCCTATAGAACTCGGAAAAGTCCACATGATGTGGAGAGTTAAAGTTAACACATTGTACACTCTCCTACCCAGCGCCACATGACGATCCGTCACATCTCACACAGTCCATGCAAGATATTGCATATGTTTTTCATTTGTTTCATATTTGAGTCTACACATCTAGATAAACATATGTCATAGAATGGTTAACTTTTATTGAGAAAATATCCTAAAATGTGTGGGATTATTTCCATTTGCGTAGTTATCCTTTGTTTGCATTGGTTGTACGGTTTCACGTGCTGTTTCCAAATCCCTACGGGGAGCTAGCGTTATGGTCACTTTGATGTATAAATACACATGTATATTATAATGCACCTCACTGTTGCATTTGTAGTAGGATATCCATATAAAGCGCCCCAAAATACTTGCATTAGGCTAATCTGTTCCATTTTCAGAATAAGCACATTGGTTACAAACAAGAGAAAAGTACGGTCACGTGATATGCACATTAGCCTGTGGCAATGGTGTTATGCCAAGTCACCACTGCGCCGGGGTGTGCACTGTATGGAGCTCATACAAGGGACATTACTCTTATTTCTTATTAGCATATCATAACACGATTGTCTCCCTTAGACCATGCATTGATGGCGCAGCACGGCTTGCCGCCTTCACAACTCACCGCGCTGGCGGGGTAATCTTTCAACGACTTTAATATAAACGTCTCGTGTTTACTTCGATCTTGAGTCATTGTTCGTTATTTATGTACGTCTATTAGGACTATACGACTGATCCCTTGTATCAAATATGATCAATATATGAGAATATCATTGCGGCACAGTGAATATCATATATCGGTAGTTACCGATTTATCCCCAAAATATTTTGGCATGACCCAAATCACAATAATCCAAACTTTGACGTCACAATGGTTTTTCTTTAATTATCAAGTAATGTGCAGATGACATGACGTATATTTTATGATTTACCGTTTTGGCCATGCCGTTAATAGCAGTAAGAGCGTCATTACTTATTTTTGTGTTTCTCAGATCGGGCGGGCGGTCGGTCGGAAAAAGAAATACGAGAATACCAGGTTCCTTCTTGTGGAGCACCTATTCATGATCTATACCAAATATTTGACAATTTAAAGATATTGAAAGCAGGCTGAACCCGAAAACTAAAAGTAAACACATTGTGGAAAAAGATCTATACATTGAGATTTCTTCCACCCAAACATGAATCAGAACGTGTCTAATCTTCTTAAAATAAGACAGTAGATCGAAGCACGCGCTGGTGTATATTTTTAGTAGTGTAAGTAGTAACTGCCGGGTAGGTCTTGGCTACCCTATCGGTTTCGTATATATGGTAAGAAGTATGAAATGACAAAATATACGCACGACTGGGTGGAATCACTAACTGTAACCAAATTAGTTCACTGCAAGTGAACCAGGCGTAATGGCGGTGAGTGAGTGAGTGAGTATTGTTTTACGCCGCTTTTAGCAATATTCCAGCAATATCACGGCGGGGGACACCAGAAATGGGCTTCACACACTGTACCCATGTCGGGAATCGAACCAGGATCTTCGGCGTGACGAGCGAACGCTTTAACTAAACACTAGGCTACCCGACCGCCCCTAATGGCGGATGAAGGGAAGCTTGAACAGGCTTTGTTGGTTGGAGTCAAGCTTTTTGTGGTACAAAGTCACCTCAACTCTCTTATCGCTGAGAGAATCACGGAGGGTGGTAGTCAGGAGGTTTTCAAAAGTGGTAGTAACTTATGTCTACTTTAAGTCTCCACCAACCTTTACAAATAACAGAGAGGCCCGTCTTGGTGATTGCAATGATCGCAGGTTTTCATGCCATGAACTTTCTCAAACATCAACACAGCTCCCCGCTTTATATATGAACTATAGTTGAGGCGAATCAAAGATTCCACAGAAACCAAAGTAGCCAAGAGTTGCTTCCATTCTTATTTTAATAATTTACTTTAAGAACGCATACTGTCATTTATAGATACGACCGTGGTTTTCAAACCATTGTGAAACTTGATTTCTTTTGTCGAGAAGCGGCATACACATACAGATGGACATGAATAATTCAGGATTAAACAAAAACACTTTCGATGAGAGGGAAATTTGCAAGCAACGGTAGATGACAACACAAATATCAAGGACACCAAGGACAGCAGGTGACTTTTAACCAGACTCGATTTTTCAAGGGATTACAATGTGTGTGATGTAACTTAGTTCCTCTTATGCCTGCTGTGCACCAGTTGAGTAGTATATATATATATATGGTAGGCTTCCCTGTTAAAGTACAATGGACTAACTTGGCCTGTATTGTAATGATCTGAAGGCACAAGAAGTGGGCTGATATTTCCATTCTTCCTAAGTCTGTATCCAGGGTTCATATGGGATTTCAGTATCAAATTCAAAGGCTTCTACATCATCTTCCCAAGGCAAGGTAGTTAACTGATTATAAAAGTCCAGTTTCCACCCTTGTCGAACTAGGCTGGAATTATGGAGTTATGTTTTGGGTGAGTGAGTATGGATTTACACCACTTTTAGCAATATCACCGCAGGGGACACCAGAAATGGGCTTCATTCATTGTACCCATGTCAGGAATCAAACCCAGGTCTTCAGCATGACGAGCGAACCACTAGGCTACCTGACCACCCCCCCTGTTTGGTGCCAAGTTCAGCAAGGAGTGTGGAGGAATTCTGGAGTGTATGCCGACCTTATATCTAAAAACAAAATCCTTCTAGATAGGGACAGTTTCTGCCAATTTCACCAGTGTATACTCCTTCATTATGCATGAAATCTCTGTCCATAATTTCACCCAGGTTATCATAATGAGTGAGTTGGGTTTAAGTTTTTAACAGCATTCCAGTTTCATCCCTCCAGAGCTTCCAGTTCAGTGAGTGAGTGAGTTGGGTTTAATGCCACTTTGAACAGTATTCCAGGTATATCATGGCATGTCAGCTTACTGTGGGAGGAAGGGATGCAGGTCTCAGACGTTTACCACCTTGATGAAACCCATGAGCGGAGTTCCATGCTGACACACCCATAGGCTAGACGAATGTCTCTCAGTGACAGACATGAGACCGCCTCCCTCTGTGGTCTTGTGGTAGAGCGTCCGCCCGGAGAGAGGAAGGTCCAGGGTTCGATCCCCACCCGCGTCATACAAAAAGATGTTAAAAGATGGTACTTGTTGTTACCCTGTCTGGCACTCGGCATTAAGGGGCTAAAACAAGGACTGGTCGGCTCGGAGTCAGTATACTGTGTCTGAGTGGGGTATTCATGTTAAACTGCGGCATGGTATCTCAGTGAGCTAGCACTATAAATCGGGATCAGTCCGGACTAGTACAAGCAGCCACACACATACACGTGCATGCACATCGCAATATAAGTGCAATAATCTTGGACGCGACGTTAAACCCCATTTCACCTCAGCGACAGACATGATGAATGGATTGATGCATGAACACGAGGTAAGCTCTTTATTTGAGTTACTTCCAGTTTCACCATTGGTGCCCGTAACATATTTGTCTTTTTTCACTGTTGACAAAACCTGGACATAAAATCATATTTGTAAAAAGATTTATTTGCATGTTAATACAAAAATGTAGAAAAGAGACTCCGTTTAGGACATCAATTGTTGTATCTACAGAATACAGTTACATACAGGTAAGTACAATGGGTTTGTACAAAAAGTTGACAGATTACAGAGATCGGAATACACTAATTATTTCACATTAATCCTTAACCCCTACCCATTGCATCGAAGGATGCTGATACAACACTTAAAATATCAACAATACTGGCCATTAAGAAATGTGAGGTTTCTGTGTTTAAATATCTTAATGCCTAACACTGGGAAAATAGCTGTCCTACACAGTGTGCATAGCATGGGCTGTTACCACCATGACAAGCCTGAGAGCTAGTGACAAACCTCATTGTGCAAGGAATCATTAAACTACACATTAATTATCAAGCAGTGTTGAGATGCTCGGCTGAAAAGAAATTTGATCATATTCAAACTAAAAAATAAATAAATAAAAAAAAAACTGAAAATAATTTCACTTATTATCTGTGGATGTATATACTGCTCAAAAGAAGTTAAAGAACATATTTTTTCATATGGCTATAGTTAATCTGCCATGCCATGACAATTTAACTAGTCATGAAAAATGAAAAAAAATTGAGCGTTCTTTAACCTCTTTTGAGTAGTATACAATTATTAAGTCAATATTCCTAAAATATTTGTTAATATATAATGATTTGGATCATTTTTGCTATGTAAAAAAGCATGAAACAATGACTACTCCAAAACAATAGAGCCATTTGAATTTTAGTTGCATTTAACTCAATAAATGTGAATAATGTGAAGTTGATGTGTATTGTACATGTTGATACTAATATCACCTGTTGTCTTCAGCACGTAACATGTCTAGAGATAAGCCTTATTCTTCTGTTACTACTGATTGTCACTACAGTTTCTTAAAGGTAAAAGATGATCTCATCCCCAATGAACTAACACATATACACCCAGTATACGTCTCTACGGACAGAGGAAAGTTGATTGGTCAGACTGTAGATCAATCTCTTCTTCAGAACTAAATAATTCAATTAAACATCATGATTGAAAATGACATCTGAAACGTGATTTTCTATGAAAACACCAACTGGTAAAGGTCATAATGACAACATGCATATCTCAGTTTCCAAGATCTTCGTCCACTAAACATCACGTGACTACTCATAGCATCAACACTGTACACAATCCACATTTCCCACTGGGGCAAGGCACGTCCAAAATTGGTCACTGACTGAGCATCAAAAATATAATTTTGTTCTGGTAATTTGAAAAATATTTCTCATAGTACAAAAATAATGTTTTGGTACAATATGGCTATGAATTTATGAGTATTAAACCTGACATATTCATTCACAGTTAAGCTGATAACAGTGAGATTATCATGATAAACAATCAATAAAACAATATTACATTAAAGGTTTGAAATAGAAAAACAGCCAAAAATAAATTTGGGAAGTAAAAGTGCCCTCCAATGAAATAATAAATAACTGGTAAGAGTAAACTAGATCTAAAATGCCTGTACAATAGCTATATTTCTACAAACACATTGGCACATTTCGAAGAAGGGGAATCAAATAGCCCCGACAAGCTACACCTTAATTAGTCTACCATGCAAAAGAGGGCTTGATGCATTATTGCTAATTTGCCTTATAATAGCGGTCAAGTACACAGAAGCTAGAACGGCTGACCACGGATGATAACTGGTTCCTGCTGGAACTCAGAACATGTTGATTATGGCAAGATGTGATTGGTTGTCACTAAACTAGTGAATAGTTGGTGTATATGGAGGTTGGATAAAGAAGACCATACAATATGAACATAAATAGCACCATAAGAGATGAGATGACCGAAGGCAGAATGCTTCAATGCTTGTGTACAAGTATGTAACAATACAACACAGCAAACCCACCTACTCCACATGCCAGCGGTCAGACCAAGTCCCTCAAGCCTTTCCTTGATGAACAGCCCTAGGATTGATTGATTGATTGGGTGAGTGAGTGAGTGAGTATGGTCTTTTGCTGCTCTTAGCAATATTCCAGCATATTCACAGCAGTAGACACCAGAAATGAGATTTGACAAGAACATGATCCTCAGAATGGGTGAAAAAATGTCACTTTCATCTGCATCACACCAGTCATTGTGAAGTAGACAGAAAGATCGAATCTGGTACATACAAACCATGACAAATTAAGTCAAATTTCCTTGAACTGTTTGTTTGTTTGTTTCAAAACAAATTGACAAAATATAGTTTTGAGTTTTCCAACCTCACCCAGAACACCAAGTCAAGTGTTAGTAGCAGGTCAGCTTCTTTTAATTAAATTATCCAAAATTCTGAATAAGAATGCAGCTTGAGTTAGCGTGTGTTGGTCAACAATACTATGGCTACATCATTGCACTGTTCCTTGAGAGGGAACAGGTGTAACACATGGTGTTTGCAGGATTATTCCTGCTACAAGACCGCAGCCTGCGGACAATTGCGTCTATACCAATCAAGTGATTGATATCATGAGCAACGACCAATGCAGTCGGGTACAATGACAAGATAACCAATTTCCTGAACCTGACCAAAGAACACATTAATATGACTCTTACAACCAGTCCAGGTTACTGGGGACGTATTCTACCCGGAGTGAGTGAGTGAGTGAGTTCGGTTTCACGCCGCTTTTAGCAATATTCCAGCAATATCACGGCGGGGGACACCAGAAATGGGCTTCACACATTGTACCCATGTCGGGAATCGAACCCGGGTCTTCGGCGTGACGAGCGAACGCTTTAACCACTAGGCTACCCGACCGCCTTATTCTACCCGGAATCCCCTAAGGGGTTGAACATGGTAAAAAGGAGATTTGTACATCGAGGAAAGGCTTGGCTGGATGTTATCGCCCATATGGACACACAGACAGACAGACACTTGGATGAGCAATTCCAGACTTGGTGCCGAGGTTACAGACATGTTGAATATTCATCACTCCTCACAGCAGACTTCTAGCTCAACCGTTGACAAATATCACCTCGCTGTTACTCCCTATGTTAATCCTGCACATAGGTGCGAAACACTGTTGTATATGTAGACAGATCCACACCATTAAATTAAACACTGAAATTATTCCAGCATGTTGAGAATCACAGAAAAATCTAGTTTAAATACAGCCCACTTCTAAGTTTGTTATTATGCAAAACACTTTGTTCAATTAATCAAACACATGACAATGATTGCTTCGGAATATATGAACATACATAATTAAACAAAGATACATAAGGGAAAGGAGATGTTACTTAAGAATTTATATGTCACAATTCAACCAAGTATAGTCTGTCAAATCATATTTGAAACCTCTGGTCTGAAAGGGGATCTTGGCTGTCAGCAGTCATATTGTGTTGACTAGCCAGATGTACATTGGAACTAAGGACAAGGCATGGACGACTATTGTTCACAGGCTACAACAGATTTGAAAGCAGCTGGGTTGTTTCTGCGATAAGACTGGCCCCTTGGAACACCAGCTGTTTATTTCCTTTCATAATCTTCCCAACAAGGACATTGGACAATCATAGCAAGAAATGTGACATAAAATTTTAAGCACTGTACTCGACTCCCTTAATATTATTCATAAGATACACTGTACACTTATATAAAGTAAATGCAGTTCTAGCATTCCGACAGAGGCTGTTCGGCAATGAGGGTCTGTGGCTATTTAGGAGGTAATAAGGCACGAATACCATCAATGCTGAGGTCAAGGTCATCTTGAAGGTAAAGGTCACTGATATAGGTCAAGGTTGACATGAAGACTAGTGACGTTGAGGAAGCTAGCCAAGACATCCCTCTGCTGCGTTGGTTTTCAGGTGTAGGAAAATCACAGCAACTCTGACATATACCTGAGTAAGCAAAGGATTAAGAAAGTTGTCCACGCCTCCACTTGACACTGACCATAGCCCCATGTCTTTTAACACTAACTCAACAGTCTTGTTTGATGTTTTATCTGCCTCCCGCTGGGGACTCAATCTCTATACTCTTAAAGCAGCCATCACGCAGTGAGTTCTTAATGTCCTCTATATTGTCAACGTCTGCCTTCAGCTGGGAATAGTCTTCTGTGTACTTGCGCACAAGGTTTTTCACATTGTCATTGGCACTGGATATATATTTGTACTGAGCATCTATATCTGCTTCCTTCAGCTGCCGTTCTACGTCTACAAGGTCAGCCTCAAGGGCATCCAGGCTCTTAGGGTCCACCATTTCAAAAGAATCTGAAACAGATATATGTTATTTCCTTGAGTGAGCTCACTTGAATGTAATCGTCTATCAGAATGACAATTGTGTTGGGTTTAACGCCGCTTTTAACAGTAATCCAGTTATATCACGGCGTGTCACCTTAATGTGGGAGGAAAGCCCCAAGTGATGCAGGTCTCGGACGTTTACCACTTCGGTGAAACCAACGAGCATGGGTATGGTGCTGACAAACCTAGAAACATAATCGGGGTGAACTGGGATCTGACCCAAAATCATAGGTTTCTGGCATTCCCACGGGACGCAACTCTGCACAGCAAATCGCGGCGCCTCACACGACTGGGCCACCCGTGCCCCCTCAGAATGATAAAATCGCTCTTAGACTGCATGCGGGTGACTGTTGTTTAATGGAGCTATCGGTGATATTCCAGTCATATCATGCAGAGGTATGTTACAAGTCTGGGCCTGGCCCACCGGTGGTTGATAGCATGAGCAACATTGTAAGCCAATGCAAGTACTGACTGTGTGTTAGTTGTTTAATGCCAACAATAAGCAATATTCCAGCTCTACAAAGGCAGTCATTAAATAATCAAGTCTGGACCAGACAATCCAGTGATTGTCATAATGAGCATCATTCCACACACTTGGGATACGATGACAAGCATTAAGTTAGCAAGTCTGACCACCTGATCCTGTTAGTCGCGTCTAACAACAAGCATGGGTTGCTGAAGACAAGTTTATCCCAGACTGTCACAGGGAGGCTTATAAATTGTTGGTACTAAATGACAATGAGCTCCAGTACCTAATATCTGAAGGATGTCGTTGACAGTCTTGAGGGCATCCTCCACCTTTGATGAAGCTTTCTGTGCAGTATCCTTGGCCTCATTAGCCTTCTCCAGGGCCTGAAACACCAGCACCAGCATTTAGTAATACTCATACAATAACACTTAATAACAACAACAACAACAACAATAATAATACAGCTCTATAAGTGCTTGAAAGTGGCATTGGATATAATAAGAGAGTCTCCATACAGTCAAGTCCTGTTAATCCGACATGGTTGAATTCAAACGAGTATGTCGGATAAACGAAATTAAAAGTAGTATCAACGTTAGTGACCGAAAATCGGACAACTACACAATAGATAACGATTCAAACATGTAATAATAAAATGAAATATTCGTATTGTTATGTTACATTGTTAGCAGAATGTTTTCTTATCATGCAACCTCTAAAGCTTAACACAAAACTTCTGTCAGTTCTTGAATTTTTCTGAGGTTGAGTGGCAGAGGTCAATAGCAAAGGTGAGTGAGTGAGTATGGTTTTACACCACTTTTAGCAATGTTCCAGCAATATCACAGAATGGGATACCAGAAATGGGCTTCAATGCATTGTACCCATGTCGGGAATCGAACCCGGGTCTTCGGCAACGCTTTAACCATGAGGCTACCTGACTGCGCCCATAGCAAGGGAGCAAAGGCACTTGGCTATGACTATCTACCTCTTAACCACTAGGCTACCCCACTATCCTGGGGCAAATGGATGGATGAGAGTTTCTAGGTCATTGGTTTCTGCCCCACACTGAAACACAGATTATACCGTATTCGACGTAATTAGCGCCCAGGGCGCTCTCAAAATTAGAAATAGGGGGCTCTTATTAGAATATTATTTTGGTGAAAAAACCCAGAGTTGACAGTTAAATTTCGTGGTTTATGCTGACAGCCTGAAGTGTTTTTGTACGACAGATATATTTTTCGAGAATTTAATTGCCCATAATTAAGGGTGCATACTCCCCAGGGGGCTGAGGAGGAAATTCAAGTCCACGCTGACACATCTACCAGGGTAATAATGTAGCCCTTTCAACATGATCTAAAGTATGGATTTGGCGCATAATAAAAATACACATCATCATCATTATCATCATTAGAAGACCTATGGGTGAGTCCATGATGCTTTAGCAATATTACTGTTCAACATGGATGTGGAAAGGATGTCTTACTGTTTTCGCCAGGTCCATGTCTGATGTACTTCTAGCATCCAAATCATTGAACACAGATTCTGCATCATTGACATTCTCTGCGAGAGAGTCAGCTTTATTCCTCAATGCGCTGGCCTTGGTCTTTGTTGTGCCAGCCTCGTTACGGATACGACTGGCTTCCTGTCAAAAAGGAAAAGAAAGAATTTCTTTATAAAAAATTGAGTCGAAGTCTGTGTCAACTCTAAGACACAAAAAAATTATTACTGGGGATCTCATTGGAGGACAAGCATGGATACTGTTGACCTATTCTGAACTGGAATCTCATTGGAGGACAAGCATGGATACTGTTGACCTATTCTGAACTGGAATCTCATTGGAGGACAAGCATGGATACTGAGGACCTATTCTGAACTGGAATCTCATTGGAGGACAAGCATGGATACTGGGGACCTATTCTGATCTAGATTCCCATTGGAGGACAAGCATGGATACTGGGGACCTATTCTGAACTGGAATCTCATTGGAGGACAAGCATGGATACTGGGGACCTATTCTGATCTAGATTCCCATTGGACAAGCATGGATACTGGGGACCTATTCTGATCTAGATTCCCATTGGAGGACAAGCATGGATACTGAGGACCTATTCTGATCTAGATTCCCATTGGAGGACAAGCATGGATACTGGGGACCTATTCTGAACTGGAAACTCATTGGAGGACAAGCATGGATACTGAGGACCAATTCTGAACTGGAAACTCATTGGAGGACAAGCATGGATACTGGGGACCTATTCTGATCTAGATTCCCATTGGAGGACAAGTATGTGGCAATGGGGACCTATTCTGATCTAGATTCCCATTGAGGACAAGCATGGATACTGGGGACCTATTCTGAACTGGAATCTCATTGGAGGACAAGCATGGATACTGAGGACCTATTCTGATCTAGATTCCCATTGGACAAGCACGGATACTGGGGACCTATTCTGATCTAGATTCCCATTGAGGACAAGCATGGATACTGGGGACCTATTCTGAACTGGAATCCCATTGGAGGACAAGAATGGATACTGGGGACCTATTCTGAACTGGAATCTCATTGGAGGACAAGCATGGATACTGAGGACCTATTCTGAACTGGAATCCCATTGGAGGACAAGCATGGATACTGGGGACCTATTCTGAACTGGAATCTCATTGGAGGACAAGCATGGATACTGTTGACCTATTCTGATCTAGATTCCCATTGGACAAGCACGGATACTGGGGACCTATTCTGATCTAGATTCCCATTGAGGACAAGCATGGATACTGGGGACCTATTCTGAACTGGAATCCCATTGGACAAGCATGGATACTGGGGACCTATTCTGAACTGGAATCTCATTGGAGGACAAGCATGGATACTGAGGACCTATTCTGAACTGGAATCCCATTGGAGGACAAGCATGGATACTGGGGACCTATTCTGATCTAGATTCCCATTGGAGGACAAGTATGTGGCAATGGGGACCTATTCTGATCTAGATTCCCATTGAGGACAAGCATGGATACTGGGGACCTATTCTGAACTGGAATCCCATTGGAGGACAAGCATGGATACTGGGGACCTATTCTGAACTGGAATCCCATTGGAGGACAAGCATGGATACTGGGGACCTATTCTGAACTGGAATCCCATTGGAGGACAAGCATGGATACTGGGGACCTATTCTGAACTGGAATCTCATTGGAGGACAAGAATGGATACTGAGGACCTATTCTGAACTGGAATCTCATTGGAGGACAAGAATGGATACTGGGGACCTATTCTGATCTAGATTCCCATTGGAGGACAAGCATGGATACTGGGGACCTATTCTGATCTAGATTCCCATTGGACAAGCATGGATACTGAGGACCTATTCTGAACTGGAATCTCATTGGAGGACAAGCATGGATACTGAGGACCTATTCTGATCTAGATTCCCATTGGAGGACAAGCATGGATACTGTTGACCTATTCTGAACTGGAATCTCATTGGAGGACAAGCATGGATACTGGGGACCTATTCTGATCTAGATTCCCATTGGAGGACAAGCATGGATACTCGGGACCTATTCTGATCTAGATTCCCATTGGAGGACAAGCATGGATACTGGGGACCTATTCTGATCTAGATTCCCATTGGACAAGCACGGATACTGGGGACCTATTCTGATCTAGATTCCCATTGGAGGACAAGCACGGATACTGGGGACCTATTCTGATCTAGATTCCCATTGGAGGACAAGCATGGATACTGGGGACCTATTCTGATCTAGATTCCCATTGGAGGACAAGCATGGATACTGGGGACCTATTCTGATCTAGATTCCCATTTGAGGACAAGCATGGATACTGGGGACCTATTCTGATCTAGATTCCCATTGGAGGACAAGTATGTGGCAATGGGGACCTATTCTGATCTTGAATCTCTTTAGGAGAACAGCATGGGGTACTTGGGACATGCTTCCTTGAAATCCCTATACAGCAATCTGCCTTGCACAGACAACCGACCAGTCCTTACATCAGAAGCATCCAGGGCTGTGTCCTGAGCTTGTTTGGCAAGCTGAAGAGCTTTGTTGGCATCATCACTGGCACCGCTGAGGGCATTCCTTGCCTCCTGGGTTGTTCTTTCTGCCTGGTCAATGGTGGCCTCGATCTGGGGAACTTTCTTCAGAGCCTCATCAGCCTTGTCCTTATTGCCCTTCACCTGATCCTCAAAACCTGCACAGAAATCTCAGTGTTTCACCAGTCTAAACAATCAGAGTGTGTGTGTGTGTGTGTGTGTGTGTGTGTGTGTGTGTGTGTGTGTGTGTGTGTGTGTGTGTGTGAGTGAGTGAGTGAGTGAGTGAGTGAGTGAGTGAGTGAGTGAGTGAGTGAGTGAGTGAGTGAGTGAGTGAGTGAGTGAGTGAGTGGTTTTACGCCGTTTTTAAGCAATATTCCAGCAATATCACAGCAGGGAGCAACCAGAAATGGGCTAAACACATTGTACCCATGTCAGGAATCGAACCCAGGTCTTTGGCATGGCGAGCGAACGCTTTAACCACTAGGCTACCCGACACTCGAGGAGAAAAAGAATCAAGATAAGTCTAATTCTTATTTCTCTATAAACAAAGACTGGCCTCACAGAAATGCAAGTAATTTGACACAAGCTGTGTCCTGGTCCTCATCACGACCATCTACAGGGTGCCCTACCTGCCAGAGTCCGGTACGTCTCATTGGCCTCCTTCAGCGTCTTCTCCCCCATCTCAACAGCATCACGAGCCTTGGCACGAGCACCATCAACCTCAGCTAGCAGCTCATCAGTTCTCTGAGAGATGGAGACATCAACAATTTATCGTCTGACGTGTATGGCACGCGACGTCAACATGCCAATACTGCCATCCACTGAATACAGCAATGGTGTCATACAATCCTACTTCATCAATGTCCTGTCATCAGGGAAGTACCATCAGCTCTACAATGAGTGAGTGAGTGAGTGAGTGAGTTTGGTTTTACGCTGCTTTTAGCAATATTCAAGCAATATCAAGGCAGGGGACACCAGGAATGGGCTTCACACATTGTACCCATGTCGGGAATCGAACCCAGGTCTTCGGCATGATGAGCAAATGCTTTTACCACTTGGCTATCCGACCGCACCTCAGCTCTACAAACTCACAACATTACTAATCAACCATGTGAACCTGATTTGGCATTTTTTACTGATGTTTCATGCAGATTTGGCTTGAGCAGGTCTAAATAAATCACCAAGAATGGTCCTAGTGTACCAAAGTGAGGATTCAAACCTATATCTGGGTCATCAAGAGAAGGCATTAATTCAGTGCCCACAGAAACTGAAGACATGTGAACTTCTATACTTCACACCCAAATGTTTCGTTTGTGTGTTGTTTAACGCCGCACTCAGCAATATTCCAGCTATATGACGGAGGTCTGTAAATAATCGAGTCTGGACCAGACAACCCAGTGATTGACATCATGAGCATCAATCCACGAAATTGGGATCGATGACATGCATCAACCAAGTCAGCGAGTCTGACCACCCAATTCCGTTAGTCGCCTCTTACACACCTAAATGAAAGCAACTGACATTTGAATTGTTTGATAGGCATTACTTAGAAGTTGACATATGACAAAGTAGACACAACATATGGATAATAACTTCTTTATTTACTGAAAAGGCGACATTTCGGTATGGATCCTTATATTGTTGTCAAGCAACGGTACAAGGATCTATACGGAAACATTGCCTTTACAGTAAATAAAGAAGTTGTTATCAATAAATTGTGGCTACTTTGTAACTAACACTCGACTCAGAATATAACTTGTCATCATCTTCTAGGCTTCTGATGAGCTAACAATAGTTTCCTTGACTTTTTTTTAGCATAGGACATTTTTTTTACTATTTTTAGTGGACGTACTTTTAGAAATATTGCAGCGGAGCTGAACAACCTCTAATTCAGGACACGAAGAGTATGTGAAGAGGGTGCTTTCACGCTTAATACTGGATTTTCAACATAATTCGGCGATCATGTTATAAAGGACATGCCCCAGGACAAAATGGCAAATGTCAAGATTATCCTTGAGCGAGTAAGTTGGGCTTAACGCCGCTTTGAACAGTATTCCAGTTTTATCACAGCGTGTCAGCTTAATGTAGCCCCCCCCTTATCCTTGAGCATATCCTGGTGTCATCATAATAAGAATACAAAGTGTGCATCCCCTGGTAACTGACAGAGAATGGAGTCAAGCGGTGCACAGACTGGTTGCAATGTTTCTAGCCTGGCACTGTTTCCCAAAGCAATCGTAAGGCTACCACTGTCATAATCTATGTTGAAGTATTGGAGTTAGCGGTACCATAGCTTTTTGAAATTGTACCTTGTTATTTCTGCGTCTGCTGCAGAAAGGAAGTCATTTTGTAAGTATCGCAGGTCACATGATTACCAGCAGTGATAATCGCAGGAGATCTCACAGACCTAATCTGGACCATTTAGCCCTATCAAAGCAAGTGGGGCAAGGCTTCTTAGTGACTTGACCATAGACTTGTCTAAGACACAGTAGCCATGAGTACACAACCCATCAACTCTCTACACACAAGTGTGTACCTGCTGCAGATGGATGCCTTCCTCCAGCTTGTCTTCAGCCTTCATCTTTCCATCATTCACATCTGCCATCAGATCTGCGTTTTGCTCTAGCAGTCGCTCAGCTTCCTCTTTTATCAGAGTGGCCTGGTGTAGAGATCAATGCAAGATTAATGAGTGAGTGAGTATGGTTTTACGCCGCTTTTCGCAATATTCCAGCAATATCACGGCGGGGGACACCAGAAATGGGCTTCACACATTGTACCCATGTCGGGAATCGAACCCGGGTCTTCGGCGAGATGAGCGAACGCTTTTTACCACTGGGCTACCCGACCGCCCCCAATGCAAGATTAACATGCACCCTATCACACAATACATCTGTACATCAAGACGTTCAGCTTCTTCCTATGTCTAAGCGGCCTGTGTTTGTTTGTCTCTTTGTTGTTTAACGCCACACTCAGCAAAATTCCAGCTATATGACGGCGGTCTGTAAATAATCGAGTCTGGACCAGCAAATCCAGGGCTTGACATCATGAGCATCAAACCACGCAATTGGGATACGATGATATGCATCAACCAAGTCAGCAAGCCTGACCACCTGATCCCGTTAGTCGCCTCTTACGACAAGCATAGTCGCCTTTTACGGCAAGCATGGGTTGCTGAAGACCTATTCTACCCCGGATCTTCACAGGTCGAGTGGCCTGTGCTTTGTTTAAGAGCAGGACTACTACATGCTTTCATTGGAATTGCAAATGGTGTAGGAAAAGTAAGAATGAAGTAAGCAATAGTCCATTTATATGGCACTGTACTTGATGCATAAGCATGATCTAAGCGCTTAGACATTATTACCCCGGTCAGTGGATCAGTGTGCACTCAACAATCATTCCCAGCTCCCTGAGAAGTATACAACCCAAGCTGCTTTTTAGGTGCAAGAAGGTTAACAACAACATCGATATCTCTTCCTATCCTGTACATATTCACTGCTGGGTGAACAGAGGCTCATTTTGAAAAGTCACTTGCCCATGGAGTGAGTGAATGAGTTGGGTTTAACGCCGCTTTTAACAGTATTCCAGTTATATCACGGCATGTCAGCTTAATGTTGGCATAAAGCTCGAAGTGATGCAGGTCTCAGATTCGGTGAAACCCACGGGCAAACCTAGAAACATAATCCGGGCGAACCGGGATTCGAAACCCACAGTCATAGGTTTCTGGTATGCCCTAGAGACGCAACTCTGCACAGCAATTGCAGCGCCTTAGACGACTTGCCCATGGAGAAACCACATGTGTTACAAGTGTTGGGCAAGTCCAAGCCCTAGAAACCCTCCTGATCCAACGCGGTCGCCCATCCAAGGTCTCTCCACGATCCCCGTTGCTTAACTTTGAACTGCTTTGTGACCTGTGCGCTGTGCATAGGACCACGTGCCACCATATTTAACCCACTGACACGAGAGATAACACAGCAATCTGAATCAGTCGTACTTTATACCTGCCCCTACCTGAATCTTAATGTTAGCAGCATCTGTGAGAAGCTTCTCCACATCCACACTGGGCACACTCTGCTGGGATTCGGTGAACAGACCCAGTGCTTCATCTTGAGCTTTCTCTGCCAGCTCCGAGGCCTTCTCCGCCAGCTGCCGCGTCTTCTCATACAGGCGGTCGGCATTGTTGTACCTGTAGAAGACACACGACACAAGTGTCACACACAGTCAGCAGACACAAGACAATAAGACGAAAGTGGCAGACCAAAGATCTTAGGACTTCCAATTACTTGTCACGTCAGAACAACCTTTTGCAAATTTTGAATGACCAGTGAAATGACTAGCAGAAAGATGACATAATCCAGCTTTCCAGAGCTTTCTGGCACTAGTTTCAAATTGGAGACTTCCATTCCAGACGCTTTAAGAAATATTTAAATTCCAAATTTGAAAACTGAACAAATGAAAATTCTGGAATGTCAACAAGATCTGCGGGATTGTATGACAGTACTTCCCATGGGCTATGGAAATCTCTTGTTTCAAATATTTATCCCATTGATGCGGGAGATAGACAATAGCATTCTGAATCAGTCCACAGCCTGTAACTGTTGTTGGGAATACCCTTGGTTAACCCTTTCAATGTTGCATGATTGGAAAACTCGACTCTCTGATGGGTTAGATGAAAGGTCGCTCTGATCTGACCAGTAATAAGATGTCTTCAGATCTTTGTGCAGCAGTAGCACAAGTAACAAATAGAGGCAATCAGTGTACACAGGAAAAGATTTAACATGGATTTTATAATTCACCATCCGGAAAGATGGTCCAATAATCTTGTGGAAGATGAGAGTTACTCCTAAGATAGTTCTTCAGGGCACTTTTACATGCATTTGGTGACGTTTGAGATGTAAAACTACTCACTCTGAGTTCAGCCTCTGTATGTCCGTCGCTGTCTGTCCCGGCATACTTAAGGCCATCTGGGCAAGTCGCAGGGCCTCGCGGGATGTGTTTTGGGCATCATTAGCAACAGCAACAATACGAGCAGCATCAGCCAATTGTCTGGAAGCAAACATACAAGTGGGTAGAGAACCTCCTCAAATACATGGCAGTGTACATGCAGTAGATGAAACTATTCTGTGTTATTTCGGTTCAACTGATTTTTGTTTGTTTACTTGTTGAATTAAGCTGGACATACAACTGTCTGATCTCTCCCCATAGTAGCTGTATCCAAGAATAGTATGACCTCAGCTGTCTGAACTCACCTTCCAGAAGCTGCATACAACAATAGTATGACATTGCAGCTGTCTGAACTCACCTTCCAGAAGCGGCATACAACAATAGTATGACCTCAGCTGTCTGAACTCACTTCTCGGAAGCTGCATACAACAATAGTATGACCTTGCAGCTGTCTGAACTTACCTCTCAGAAGCGACATATAACAAAAGTATGAATTTGTAGCTGTCTGAACTCACTTCTCAGAAGCTGCATACATCAATAGTATGACCTTGCAGCTGTCTGAACTTACCTCTCAGAAGTGGCATACAACAATAGTATGAATTTGTAGCTGTCTGAACTCACTTCTCAGAAGCTGCATACATCAATAGTATGACCTTGCAGCTGTCTGAACTTACCTCTCAGAAGTGGCATACAACAATAGTATGAATTTGTAGCTGTCTGAACTCACTTCTCAGAAGCTGCATACAACAATAGTATGACCTTGCAGCTGTCTGAACTCACCTTCCAGAAGCGGCATACAACAATAGTATGAATTTGTAGCTGTCTGAACTCACCTCTCAGACTCTATCTTGGCTCTGTTGGCAATTTCTGTCATCTGTTCTGACTGCCTCCCAAAGCGCCCAAGTGCCTGGAGTGCCCTGTCTAATGCTAGCCGTCCTTCTCTGTCAATGTAGTCCTCTGCAGCCTTCAGCGATATCTCTGCGCGTTCAATAGCCTGTTCAGCCTGCCTTATGTCACGGTCTGTCTCCATGGAGACATCCTTGGCTGAAGTGATACTCCTACCGATCTGCCCAGTCTTGTGGATGACTTCATTGAGAGACTTGCGGAGCTCCTGGAGTTGTCTCCCCACTGACCCATCACCAGCTGAGGAAGGATACAAAATCCTTCTAAATCTACCAATCATTGCTTGCACCATGGTGGCAAGTCCTGGCTAACTGATTATGTTCTGATATGATTACACTGCTTGCCGTCATCTGGTTGATTGTTATATGCCATGGTTCAGTTCCTATTACCTCCCCTGATGTGTTATGCATTTGTTCTGATCAGATTACCTCCCTTTACATCATGTGCGATGCCTTCATTCTGATCAGAGAACCTCCCTTCACATCACATGCCATATTTCTGTTCCTATCAACTCCCTTGATGTCCTTGCTGTGATAGGATTACCTCCATTTACATCATGTCATATCTCTATTACCAAGATCACACAACCTAATGAATATGTATTGGTGATGGAATAACACAACCATAATACCAAGTACACATGGTATAAGAAATATATCATCCCTGCAATCAGCCCCTTGAAATCCTCCCGAAAATGGACAGTTGTTTAGTAATCCTTGTTTACAAATACTTTAAAAATGATACTCACTTGATGCTCCTCGTGCCTCATCAAGGAGAATGTTGACAGTCTTGTTGACGTCTCCCATGACGCTGATGAACTCTGTGTCATTGAAGAGGCTGGGGTTGTTGCCGATGTTGTTAATGAGGTTGGTGAGTTCTCGCAGCTTGGCACGGTGGATGTTGACATGTTCCTGCACCAGGTCATAGCATGGTGGACAATCTGCAGGAAAAGTCAGATGGTGAATAAAAGGGCTTAGTGAGTGAGTGAGTTGGGTTTTAGGCCGCTTTTAGCAATATTCTAAGAGCTATTATAGACCAGGTTTACATACTGACACTTTTTCAAAGTTTATTCGTAATTTGTCACAAAACCTAAAGTGGAAACAATCCATTATAAGTATTACTGAAGTTTTTTAATGACATTTCCTCCAATTTTTGTGTAACATTGTACATGCAGCCAACAGACTGAGAAATTATTCCGTGGCAGACTATCAGTTCTCGCTCAAAACAGGTGTGCCTGCAATATTCTTTGGTTTGGGGACCAACCTTTTTCTGCCTCAGATTTTGTTCATAAAAACTTGGCCTGACCCTGAACTACAGGAGACCTACCTATACATCCAGCGGAGATGTTGAACTTGTTCTCCATGCACCGGTCACATCGACGTCCACCGACGTTGTTACGACAGGGGCAGTTGCCGTACTCATCACACTGCAAGTCCAGGGAACCAACTGGATCACAGTTGCAAGCTGTAACACAAAACAGTCATCAATACCCTGTACTGGCAACCATAACATCCACGTAATCCCTATTCACGTTTTTTCTTAATATACTCATCGCCAAAAGAAACGCGAACCACTATGTTCAGAACAGATGTTTCCAATGTGTATCACTTAATGACAAAACTGTCAAGTATTACCACAGTGTCTGTATTGTTATCACGATATGCTGCGCATGTTTCCAAACTTTACACGCTAATTGTGCATGAGACAAATGGTGCATCTCCATAAATGGATCCATCCATGACATCACACGTGATGCGTTCATGAGCATCGGTTCACACAACATAACAAAATGTTCGTTTAGGCACTGAACCAATCTAATATCGAATTGAAGAGGAATAATTCTTCATACATAAACCAACATGAATGGTATTCCCATTTCTTTTGTCGGTGAATATATTAGGTGTGGAGAAAAGTGGTTCAGGATTATTGCACTAATGTGTGTGTGCATTCTTCTCTGCTTATACTAGTCCAGACTAATGCCAGTTTTATAGTGCTAGTCCAGTGAGATAGTGGTACCAAGCCGCAGATACCCTCCCCACAAGACCACAGAGGCAGTATTCATCATACAGCACAACAGTACAATTAAAAGAAAACTGACCCCAGATACTGGGGCTGGGACAACCCGGGTAACCCCATCTATTACCTGATCTTACCCGGGGGCCCACTGTAGCTCTCAAGAGATGAGTACAAAATGTCTGATTGGGAATTGTTTGACCGTAGCCCTGGCAAAATGTATTTAGATACATGTATAAAAAATTTGGTTATGCATACACTGAAGTTGACTGAAGTTTAATCTTTATTCACACATATAAAAGTCAGAAGGAATGTGTTCATAGTCAGAAAGAAATGCTAACATTAGTGATTTGTATTGTAACCATAAAGTTCTAGATAATTTTTGTCATTAAACAATATATCACGTGACTAACCATGTGTCCGGGTAGTCCTGTTGGTAGTCAGGTCGAGTGGGTACTGAGAAGAACCGTTGCAACCCTACCAGGGCCCACTTGCACAAAGCGATCTTAGCGCTAAGATGATCGTAACTCCCATTCTTTAATAAAGGCTTATGACAGTCTTAGCGCTAATATCGCTTTGTGCAAGTGGGTCCAGATACTGATTCCATGTTGATTCGTTTGCTTTTGTTGTTCTCCAAGAGTGAGTTATCTGCCCTTACCTTGACATCCTGCCCGTGAGAAGCCGTAGAAGAATCGCTGGCACGTGTCACAGCGACGACCTGTGACCCCCGGCTTACACTGGCACTGTCCTGAGCCGAGTTGACAGGTGAAGTTGAGAGAGCCCACCTGGTCACAGTCACAGGCTTCACAACCTGGGGACACACACAGGGTGAGTGAGGGAGGTTAGCTCAACAGTCAGCAGTAGCAATTACTTGGAATTACTAGAGAGTCTTATCACTGTTAACAATATCGAAGTTTCAAATACATCAAACAACTTCCTGGCATAGCTTCCATTTGATTATGGAAAGGGTTTTGTCATGTTTACTGTATGTTGGAATGTTGGTATGTTGGAAATCAGAACTTGACAAACAGATTTTATCTGGGATTACAAACTAATTGGCAAGCAAATTAGGAAAGATGCATAATTTTGAGCAAAAGTGGGAAAGTTTGAAAGGTAAAAATTTCTTGAATTGTTTGATAGGCAGTAGTTAGAAGTTGACAGATGACAAAGCAAGACTGCTTGACAACAGCGTAAGGATCTATACCGAAACGTCACCCTTACAGTAATTAAAGAAGATGTTGTACATAAATTGTGTCTACTTTATCCTTTGCTTAATACAGTCTTTATCAAACCTTACATTTTATGCAATAGTAACGGCAAGCAAGCCACAAAGCCTTTTTTTCCTCATTGGTCATCATGTCTGTATGTTATACAAGTCACCTTCACATAGCTAAAGTATTTTCAAGTTTGGAAATTTTCAATTCAATTTTAGAAATTTTAGATATTTGACGAAGAACATAATCAGAAAACTGGCCCCAAGAGCGACTTTGTTACTCACCTGTGCCACTGTCGAGGTTCCAGTAGCCATCATCACACATGTCACAGCGCTGACCGCGGACGTTGCGGAGGCAGGGACACTGGCCGCTGTCGTCACAGGTCAGCAGGCCCACCTGGTTGGTGCCATTAGAGTAGCAGCCACATGCTGGAGAGACGAACCAATAGCCAGCCATTAGTCATCTTCACATTCAAGATGTGATACGAGTGAGTGAGTTAGTGAGTGAGTGAGTGAGTGAGTGAGTATGGTTTTACGCCGCTTTTAGCAATATTCCAGCAATATCACGGCGGGGGACACCAGAAATGGGCTTCACACATTGTACCCATGTCGGGAATCGAACCCGGGTCTTCGGCGTGACGAGCGAACGCTTTAACCACTGGGCTACCCGACCGCCCCAGATAGATATGATACGACTCGCGTCACAAACGTAAATGTACAAGAAAAGTTGGATTTGGGGTGAATATTGTTGTAATAAAACAATGTTATATCATTTTTACTAATAATAATTAAACAGAAATTTCTATAGAAGTGAGTGAGTGAGTATGTTTAACGCTGCTTTTAGCAATATTCCAGCAACATCACGGCAGGTGACACCAGAAATGGGCTTCACACGTTGTACCCATGTTGGTAATCAAACCTGGGTCTTCGGCGTGACGAGCGAACGCTTAAACCACAAGGCTACCCGACTGCCCCAATTTCCAGAAGAGATTAGTTTCCCATTCAATGATATTTCCTTCTAAAGCCTTGACAAGCTATCTGACAACAGGTCTGAGAACTCACGTTGACATTGTCCCTTTGGTTCAGCAATGGCATCACCATAGTAAGTGGGCAGGCACCTCTCACAGTAGTAGCCGGCTGAATTATAGATGCACTTCAGGCACTCTCCTGTTGTGCTGCAAGACAAGTTAAGGAAGAGACATAAAATATACACTTCCATAAAATATACACTTCAGACACTCTCCTGTTGTGCTGCAAGACAAGTCAAGGAAGAGACATAAAATATTCACTTCAGCCACCCTCATGTTGTGCTGCAAGACAAGTCAAGGAAGAGACATAAAATATACACTTCAGCCACCCTCATGTTGTGCTGCAAGACAAGTCAAGGAAGAGACATAAAATATACACTTCAGCCACCCTCATGTTGTGCTGCAAGACAAGTCAAGGAAGAGACATAAAATATACACTTCAGCCACCCTCATGTTGTGCTGCAAGACAAGTCAAGGAAGAGACATAAAATATACACTTCAGCCACCCTCATGTTGTGCTGCAAGACAAGTCAAGGAAGAGACATAAAATATACACTTCAGCCACCCTCATGTTGTGCTGCAAGACAAGTCAAGGAAGAGACATAAAATATACACTTCAGCCACCCTCATGTTGTGCTGCAAGACACGTCAAGGAAGAGACATAAAATATACACTTCAGACACTCTCCTGTTGTGCTGCAAGACAAGTCAAGGAAGAAACATAAAATAAACATTTCAGCCATTTCTGGCGATATTTACAGTTTCAGAGGTTCAATAAAGGCCATCTTGTCCAAGCACTTACGAGTTACAGTTTCCAACTGCATTTGGATCTATGTTGTCATTACAGAAGCATTTCTGGCAGGTTCTTCTGTCCCCATATTTTCCGGCCGGGTCCCCAAAGTAACCATCCAGACAGAGATCACATCGGTTTCCTGGAAGATGAAGAGTGAGTGAGTGAGTTGAGGTTTTATGCTGATTCCAGCAATAGTGCCACAATATCACAACAGGGCACGCAAGAATAGGCTTCACATGTTGTTCTTATGTAAGGAATTAAACCCAGACCTTCTGAGTGATGAGCTAACACCTCAACCACTAGGCTGGAACATGAAGTTCAGGACCTTTTTTTAAAATCTACGGCTGTAAGAAGATATCTCAATCCTGACTCTTATTTGCAATTCAAAGAACACATTCAGAACAAGTGACTTTGTAAAAAAGTTGTGTTTGCTTATTGTTTAACGCCGCACTCAGCAATATTCAAGCTATATGACAGTGGTATGTAATTAACTGAATCTGGACCAGACAATCCAGTGACTGACATCAAGAGCATTGATCCACGCAATTATAACATGTAATCAACCAGTCACTCAGCCTGACCACCCGATCCATTTATTTGCCTCGTGAGGTGAGGTGAAATTGGAATGAACATTGTGTCCAAGACTATTGCACTTGTATAGCGACGTGCATGCACATGTCGGTGTGTGTGTGTGTGTGTCTGCTTGTACTCATCCGGACTAATGCCGATTTTATAGTACTAGCCCACTGAGATACCATGCCACTTTTTAACATGAATATCCCACTCTGACACAGTATACTGACCCCAAGCTGACCAGTCCTTATTTTAGCCATTTAATTCCGTGTGCCACACAGGGTAACAACAAGTACCATCATTTAATGTCTTTAGGTATGACATGACGTCTTCAGCAACCCATGGTTGCTGTAAAAGACGAATATGCTTGTTGTAAGAGGCGACTAACGGGATCGGGTGGTCAGGCTCACTGACTTGGTTGATGCATGTCATCGATCCCAATTGCATTGATCGATGCTCATGGTGTCAATCACTTGATTGTCTGGTCCACACTCGATTATTTACAGACCGCCGTCATATAGCTGGAATAATAGTGTGGCGTTAAACAAACAAACCAACCAAGGTATGACGTTCGAACCCCAGACTATCCACTCCAGGCTGACACACTACCACTAGACCACAGAGGCAGTCCTGCCTCCCAAGACAAGCATGGGTTGCTGAGGACCTTTATTCAGAATCCCCACTGGTAAACCAGATACACAGCAACAGTCCTGTTCCTGTTGTGTGTTAAGGTGAGGTGGGTTGAAATGGGGTTTAACGTCGCGTCCAAGACTATTGCACTTATAAAGTGACGTGCATGTACGTGTGTGTTTGTGTGGCTGCTTGTACTAGTCCGGACTGATGCCGATTTATAGTGCTAGCTCACTGAGATACCATGCCGCAGTTTAACATGAATACCCCGATCAGACACAGTATACGGACTCTGAGCCGACCAGTCCTTGTTTTAGCCCCATAATGCCGAGCGCCAGACAGGGTAACAACAAGTACCATCTTTTCACGTCTTTTGGTATGATCGAACTCTGGACCTTCCGTTCTCCGGGCGGACGCTCTACCACTAGACCACAGAGGCGGTTGTGTGTGTTAAGGAATGGTTACCTCCAAATCCTTCCGGGCACTCTGTACAGACGACGTCAGTTGGCAGCTCCACACAGGCCCCTCCTCCGGGACAAGGACATGGCTGACAGTCGGCAGACGTTCCTGCACGTGCATTGCCATAGTAACCAGACACACATCGATCACAGTAGTCTCCCTCCGTGTTGTCTTGACAGATACACCTCCCTTGAGAAGACAAAACAGAGATGCTTTGAATGGAAAAAACTTTCATAAATGAACACAACCTTTTTACGCAGCAGTTGTGGGTTCAAATGACTGACTGACATAGCCTGTCAAATGTTATCAACAGGTTACATGAGCGCCAAGTATATATGTAGATAAAATAATGAGGAAAATTAAAATTCTTATAAAAATTATGATTCCAGCAATATTACCTTAGAGGTATTAATATACACAGAGGCAAAAGGTATTGTGACATGGAATGTTTTCATTGGTAATCTTGTGAATGAATTTTCGGATTTGAACCAGAGAAAGAATTTGTTAAAATGGTCGAAGAAATGCAACCAAGTAGTTGCATGAAATTTGCAAGAAGCATGACATATGCGCATTAGTAAAAGTAAAACACTGATTCTGTTTTTTGTTTGTGTGTCACAACTTTTCCTTTTGAGTATATATTCGAAATCTCATAATTCCTAATGTAAATACAACAATAATGAAAATTAGCATTTCACATGAAAAACTGATATTTTCAATACTATAATATAGGTGATGTGACATTCAAAATCTCCTAAATAATCTGCAATGGTGTCCAGCCTACCTGTGTTGACGTCACAGTTGGAGGAGTGGCCATTACATTCACAGGGCACGCACATTGCAAAGGGTCCACCATTCATAGGATCTCGCTTGTAGCCGGGGGCACAAGACTCACAGAACTGACCCACATAGCCTTCGGGGCACGTGCACTGCTCCACCCACGACGCCTCGTCTCCAGCATTGAACCCACGGCGAGCAGTTTCCAACTTGATGTCGTCGATAAATCCAACACCTAGGTACAACAGGATGAACATGATCATCATGACAAGAATCATCAGAGTTATTGTACATTTTTGACTTTACGAGGTAATACAAATCAAGATCACAAGTCACTACGGCCATATTATGGTGATGCGGTGCAAATCTTTTCTGGACAACACGAGCACATTGTCCATAATGTGAATGTATCATGAGGAGGATGTCAACATGGATGGATGAGGTAAGCAGACTTTTTTATCTTGATGTCTGGAGCTACCCTGGGAGTTGCCCTAATCTTGATGTCTGGAGCTAGTCTTATTGATTACCCTGCACCTACCCTGAGAGATGCCCTACTCTTGATGTCTGGAGCTAGTCTTATTGATGACCCTGCACCTACCCTGGGAGATGCCCTACTCTTGATGTCTGGAGCTAGTCTTATTGATTACCCTGCACCTACCCTGGGAGATGCCCTAATCTTGATGTCTGGAGCTAGTCTTATTGATTACCCTGCACCTAGGTACCCTGAAAGATGCCCTAATCTTGATGTCTGGAGCCGGTCTTATTGATTACCCTGCACCTACCCTGGGAGATGCCCTAATCTTGATGCCTGGAGCTGGTCTTATTGATGACCCTGCACCTACCCTGGGTGATGCCCTAATCTTGATGTCTGGAGCTGGTCTTATTGATGACCCTGCACCTACTCTGGGAGATGCCCTAATCTTGATGTCTGGAGCTAGTCTTATTGATAACCCTGCACCTACCCTGGGAGATGCCCTAATCTTGATGTCTGGAGCTGGTCTTATTGATAACCCTGCACCTACCCTGAGGGATGCCCTAATCTTGATGTCTGGAGCTGGTCTTATTGATAACCCTGCACCTACCCTGGGAGATGCCCTAATCTTGATGTCTGGAGCTGGTCTTATTGATAACCCTGCACCTACCCTGAGGGATGCCCTAATCTTGATGTCTGGAGCTGGTCTTATTGATAACCCTGCACCTACCCTGGGAGATGCCCTAATCTTGATGTCTGGAGCTAGTCTTATTGATAACCCTGCACCTACCCTGGGAGATGCCCTAATCTTGATGTCTGGAGCTAGTCTTATTGATAACCCTGCACCTACCCTGAGGGATGCCTTAATCTTGATGTCTGGAGCTGGTCTTATTGATAACCCTGCACCTACCCTGAGGGATGCCTTAATCTTGATGTCTGGAGCTAGTCTTATTGATAACCCTGCACCTACCCTGAGGGATGCCTTAATCTTGATGTCTGGAGCTGGTCTTATTGATAACCCTGCACCTACCCTGAGGGATGCCTTAATCTTGATGTCTGGAGCTGGTCTTATTGATAACCATGCACCTACCCTGAAAGATGCCCAAATCTTGATGTCTGGAGCTGGTCTTATTGATAACCATGCACCTACCCTGAAAGATGCCCAAATATTGATGTCTGGAGCTGGTCTTATAGATAACCCTGCACCTACCCTCAGCAGTGTATGTGCCCCTGATCTTGATGGCTGTAAGGTTGGACAGTATGGCAATGAAATCCGACGCCTTCAGCCTTGGAGTCCACTGGTAGTCCGGGTGTTCGTGGAGACGGAATCGGTAATTCTTGCCTACCAGACCCGGCATCTGATTCCCTGCTGCAAAGATTGGACCTGAGACCTTCTGCCCCGCGCCCTCCAGCACGACGTCGATGATGGAAGGTCGTGCTCCAGTCGCATCCCCGATTCTCAAGTTGAATGTCAAGAACCTATTGTAGCTGAAACGCTGGTCTCCCAAATACCGAACTGGAACAGGTAAACATGAACTCGTTTGGTCTCTACAAAGTTTCATTGTCTTCTAATAGTTTGCTTATCTGCATTTTGAAATGATCTCTAGAAAGCTATTACTCGCATAATTAAATATCGGCACAAATATTGAATAAATATTCTGAATTTTTCTGCACCAATCTATTATATATATTTATTTCATGACACTCTCCACAATTTACTGTATCTCTCTTTGTGCTATGTAATAAAACAAGCCCTTATTGTTTTTTGCAAACATTATATATGAAATATATGCCATGTACATTATTCATGCTTGTGAGCATGAAAAAAAACAAAATATGAATAAGAAACATGATAAGTGACATGATAGTGAAACCCAAGAGGACGTGTATGATGCTGACAAACCTAGAAACATAATAGGCGCGAACTGGGATTCAAACCCACGATCAACCCATGCCCCAGATACAGTAAGTGTTTTGTTTGTTTGTTTGTTTGTTGTTTAACGCCACACTCAGCAATATTCAAGCTATATGACGGCGGTCTGTAAATAATTGAGTCTGGACCAGACAATCCAGTGTATGACATCATGAGCATCAATCCATGCAATTGGGATTGATTACATGCATCAACCAAGTCAGCGAGCCTGACCACCCGATCCCAACGACAAGCATAGTGGCCTTTTACGGCAAGTATGAGTTGCTGAAGACCTATTCTACCCCGGAATCAGATACAGTAAGTGAGTATGTATGGTTCAACACTGCTTTTAGCAAAATTCCAGTAACATCACAATTGTGGACACCAGAAATGGGCTTCACCATTGTACCTATGTGGGGAATCAAAAGCAGGCCTCCAGCCAGATGAGCTAAAGCCTTAAACCAGTAGGCTACCCCAGCTGCCCCAAGGTACAAAGTGACTCCTACCTGGAGCCTGGAAATACATGGAGTCAGTTCCTGGAGCCGACACACCAAGGTTCTTGGTGAACCCGTTATAGTTAGTTTCCACTTCCTGGTTGCGACGGTCAACTGCTGTCCAACGCTGTTTGCCTACAGAAAAAATATATATGAAATTTCTCAATATTTTGTCATCACATTCACAAATAAGAAAATCCTATTCCAAGATTCAGTAACTAATGATTTCAATGACAAGCAGTGAATCCTGGAATTCACTGTACCATACTCCAGTTTCACAGAAAATCCCATATTCACAGACAAGATAACTTGTAAGAACTGTGACACCCAACAGATCCATGTCTGTGGGGGAGCTGGACGTCAGTGTCAGCTTAATTTGGGAGAACGTCCAAAGTGATACAGGTTGTAGGTGAGAGGTCCACTTTTGTGAAACCCAGGGTTCATAATCAGGATCAAGTCATTATTAGCAGAAACTGGATGGCCAGCTAGGTCACGCAATTCTGCTCAGCAACTTTTGGTACCTGAGAATATCGGAACCCTCTTCCAAGAGTGAGTGAGTGAGAGAGTTTGGTTGAACGCTGCTTTTAACATTATTCCAGTTATATCGCGGCGTGTCAGCTTAATGTGGGAGGAAAGCCCGAAGTGATGCAGGTCTCAGACGTTTACCACTTCGGTGAAACCCACAAGCACGGGTATGGTGCTGACAAACCTAGAAACATAATCGGGGCGAACCGGGATTCGAACCCATAACCATAGGTTTCTGCCGGCCCAAGGGACGCAACTTGACACAGCGAATCGCGGAGCCTTAGACGAATGGGCCACCTGTGCCCCCAAGAAGGTGCAGAAGTTCGGTATACACCAGATTAACCGATGGTCTATCCAAGATTCCAAGTAAGTGATTGACTTGGGTTTAACGCCACATTAAACAGTATCCCAGTTATATCACCGCGTGTAAGCATGATGTGGGAGGAAAGTCTGAAGTGATGCAGGTTTACCACCCTGGTGAAACCACAAGCACGGTTATGGTGTTGACAAACCTAGAAAAATAATGAGGACAAATCCGGGATTCGAACCCACAATTATAAGTTTGCCATCCCAGTTTCTTGGGATGCAGCTCAGCAAAATGAATTGAGGCGCCTTTAACACAGCAAAATGAATTGAGGCGCCTTTAACACAGCAAAATGAATTGAGGCACCTTTAACACAGCAAAATGAATTGAGGCGCCTTTAACACAGCAAAATGAATTGAGGCGCCGAAGACGACTTGGCCACACGTGGCATCACATACAGAACTGTCATGAGATGTTGGACACACCCACCAGTTTCAAAGTCAGTGGAGATGTTCCTGGCATAGTATCCTGGTGCTGACTGGCAGATGGAGGAATGGCCGTAACAGAAACAGGGAACACAGCCGAACGGATGTGCCTCACTTAAACCAAAGAACCCTGGTTTGCAGCTGAAATGTCAAAAGATTATTATGCATTATTCAGAATATTTTGAAGATAATTGAACCATATTGTCAAACTCCATGTCCAGCTTATCAAATGATCCGAAACATATTTCTTAACTAATTATGTACAGATTTTTTCAACACCTATTATATAAGTCCTAAACTCACTGATTACAAGATTTGATAATAAAAGTAAAACTCAGAAAATATCACTGTTTGTAGGCTATGATGTTGCAATGCGGCAAAGTGATTACATAGAAAATATCCGTCATCATCATCCTCATCATTATCATCATCATCACCTGTCGCAGGTGCGTCCCTCCACGTTCTCCTTACAGGTACATTCTCCAGTGCGAGTGTCACAACGAGGTTCGTTGTTGTAGCTGCCAGCTGAGTTACAGGAACATGGTCTGCAAAACAAAACACAAACATCTCTCAAACCAATCTGTGACTATGTGACTGATTTTACCAAGTTTGCAGTTATGTGATGTTGAGGACATAAATATAGTTACTGTTAGTCCATGTTTAAAGAAACACATCATACAATGGAACACTTCTTAGATTGATTGCATCTTGGCTTATGACCAATTAAATTAAATCTGCTACACGCCAACTTCATGCTGTGAGATCAAGGAAAGATCCATAAAGTTGGGTTTTTTTTCTTACGCATTGGCAAGAACTAAGGTATTGTTGGTACAGAAGCTTGAGATATTTGAGATTTTAAGATATTTGTTGGTTTGTTGTTTAATGCAGCACTCAGCATTATTCCATCTTTTTGATGGTGGTATGTAAATAACCGAATATGGACCAGACAATCCAGCGATCGACATACTGAACATCAATCCACGCAATTGGGCATCAACCAAGTCAGCGATCCCTTTAACAGTTGCCTCTTACAACAAGCATGCATCTTAAAATGATGACATAACAGCTTACAAGTTACATAGCCAGAATGCACAATGAGTACAAGGTAAACAAAACATAACATTTAGCTGCATCCTATTTCTGAGGGTTCTCAGGTAAGCCCTTTGAAAATGAGTGAGTGAGTTGGGTTTAATGCCACTTTTAACAGTATTCCAGTTATATCTCGGCGTGTCAGCTTAATGTGGCAGGTATTAGACGTTTACCACTTCGGTGAAACCCACAAGCACGGGGATGGTGCTGACAAACCTAGAAACATAATCGGGGCGAACCGGGATTCGAACCCACAATCAAAGGTTTCTGGCATGCCCAAGGGATGCAACTCTGCACAGCGAATCACGGCGCCTTAGACGACTGGGCCACCCATGCCCCCCCTTTGAAAATGAAAACCTTATACATTGTTCTAGACAGGACTGTTTGGATACTGATGGCGAGTGAATGGATTAATGTCCAAGTACTGCACACAACTAGTTAAACACCACCAAATTCACAGTTCAAAACTTAAAAACTTCAGTGGATGAAAATAAAATCAAAACAAGATAAAACATCCCCAGCTAAAGGTTCTAAACCAAATCAGAATCAGTTGTTCAGATGGTCACTTTCTCAAAGAGTGAGTAAGTGAGTATGGTTTAATGCCGCTTTTAGCAATATTCCAGCAATGTCACGCCAGGGGACTTCAGAAAATGGGCTTTACACATTTCAACCGATGGGGGAATCGAACCCGGATGAGCGAACACTTTAACCAGTAGGCTACCCCACCGCCCCCACTTTCACAAAGAAGATTGAGTGTAGACTGAGAAACCTGGCAGTTCATGATATTGGACGATTTTGTGCAAGATTTATATGTCTTTGAATTGTACATCTATCAAGTACTGAAAACTAACCTTGTGTTTCAATATTTAGTGCTGTCAATTTTAACATGATGACCTAAGCTAAATTTGATAGTTTCAAGCAGAGGACATTGGTGAGGAACTGGGGTTGGTGCGTTGACCTTTCTGTTCTCCGGAAAGAAACTGGCTTATGCAGCAATCATCATTTCAAAATAATATTTGTCCTTCTAACCAGCATCACCTAAAAACTCAATCTCCATCAACCTATACATCCAATTAATGCCAAGTTGGTCAAATATGTCTGTGCAGATGACCTCATCCCGACGGCTAGAGTGATTAAGATGCCAAGAGGAATTCCATGCACATCAGTCCGCCCACAGGAAGGGGAATTAACCCCTGAATCTCGTACAGGAGCCCCATTGTCTCTGCTAATATTTCCCCCCTGGAACGAAGGCGGACAGCAAAGGTCGTGGCGAGCATGTCCTCGCATATTCTTGTAATCATTACAATGGCTGCTGTACATTGTACAACAACAGGGAAACCATTAACCTTTGCTGTATGACTCTTGTAACAAAATATTTTACCTTCTAAATGGAAGAAAGGTCAACTTGTGTTTGAGAAAAGAATCCTGGTAATATTAACATTGAGCTATATTTTACATATGGATGACTTTTTTCACTCACATTTGAAAGAAAACAAATTAGAGAGGGAAGGCAAGTTGTAAAACTAGAACAAAAAAGAGTGAGTGTGTATTGTTTTATGATGCCTTTAGCAATCTTGGAGCAATATCTCAGCCGGGGGACACCAGAAATAGGCTTCACACATTGTACCCATGTGGGGAATTGAACCCGGGTCTTCAGCGTGATGAGCAACCACTTTAACCACTAGGCTACCCAACCAACCCAGAATCAAAAAGAAATAATTAATATCAATTTGCCAGTTGCTACTATTTCAGCATACTATCATATTGAGTGGGCATACTATGGCAGAAACTTAACACAATATGATTCATTTGTCTATAAAGCAATGTCATGTAGTGAGTGAGTGAGTTTGGTTTTAAGCCACTTTTAGCAATATTCCAGCAATATAGCAGCGGGGGACACCTGAAATGGGCTTCACACATTGCACCCGTGTCATCACAAGAATTCAACCATGGAACCATGTGGAAATCAAACCTGGCCTTCAGCATGAGTGAACACTGAAACAACTAGGCTACCCCATCCCCCCTAACAATGTCATGGTGACTTGCGCAGTGGCAGTGATCCTAGACATCCTAGAGTTGGAATATTTGTCAATGTTTTCAAGATAAATACAAAGATTCATTGTTACAACAGGTGTTGAAGCTGTCACTGTGGACATTTCTATGACAAAAACACAACAATTTAAGTGATACTTAGCTGGAATATTGCTGAGTGCGGCATTAATCAACAAAGCAACCAACCAACATAACAGCCTTACCAACAAACAGATATGTACTCAACAACTTATAATGGGATTTTGTATATTTGATATTTATCTGAAACTGGATACTTGAATACATTCTTTGTTACAAGGAAAATGTTTATATGCAGCTGTGGTCTTGTTTGACCTCAAGGGAGTGAGTCAGAAGACACAGCTCCACCATCTCAAAGCAGCCTAATTACTCAACCTTACAGAAGCATAGGGTAGCCTAGTGGTTAAAGCATTTGCTCATCCAGCTTAAGGCTTGAGTTTGATTCCCCACATCCCACATTGATACAATATGTGAATCCCATAAGTGGTGTTTCTTGTAGGGCTGGGATGAGTCCAAATTTACTAGCCAGGTACCCAACCCGTTATTGCTTGACCCTACCCAGGTACCCGCTGCAGGTCTCAAGAGTTGGTAACAAAATGTCTGATTGGGAATTGTTTTACCGCAGCCCTGCCCAAAACTATTTAGATACATAGGTATAAAACAATCAGATCATGCGTACACTGAAGTTTGACTGAAGCTTTATCTTTACTCAAACATATACAAGTCAAAAGAAATGAAAACATTGGTAGCTTGAAGTGTAACCACTGAGTTATAGTGAGTTTTTGTCATTAAACAATACATCACGTGACTAACCACGGTCCCAGGTAGTCCTGTGAGTACCCGGGTCCTACTCAGGACCCTCGTGACTCGAATACCAGAGTTACCCGTTCCAGGCCTAGTCTCCCGCCCTGATATTGCTGGAATATTGCTTAAAGTGGCATTAAACAATTCTCACTCAGCCTTACAATTTGACGAGTGACAACCTCAATATTTCCTCATGTCACTGTTAGGGTTGGGATGGGTAACTCGGGTAGGTACTGAGTAGGACCCGGGTACCCACAGGACCCGTGGTAAGTTACGTGATTATATTGTTTAATGGCAAAAAATATCTAGATCTCTATGGTTACAAATGTGATTAATGTTCACATTTCTTTCTGACTTTGCACACATTCCTTCTGACTTTATATGTTTGCATACTGATAAAACATCAGTCAACTTCAGTGTATGCATGACCAGATCGGTTTAAATTTATTTTGACAGGAGTACGGTCAATCTATTCCAAATCGGACATGTTTTACCTATCTCTTGAGACCAACAGCTGGTACCCGGGTAGGGTCGGGTAATGGGGAGGTGGGTACCCGGGTAGTAAATTTGGACTCGTCCCAGCCCTAGTCACTGTGTCCATTCTTGTTTAACACAATACTCGGCAATATTCCAACTATATGATGGTGGCCAGTAAATGATCAAGTCCAGTGATCAATATTGAGATCAATGATCCATGCCATCGAAGTACGAGGGCACATTTTTATTACTTACCAGGAACTTTTACTAACAACGAACATTTACAAACAATTTATCATTACTAATTATAATACCGACCTGCAGCCATACGCGTCGAAGTCGAAGAAGTTGGCCTCACATCGATCACACTTGTCGCCTGCTACTCCCGGTTTACACCTGCACTGGCCTTGCTCATTACACTGTAGGGACTCGGACCCTACACGATGAATAAGGAGTGTGTCGGTATAGGGCTACACTGTCAGAAGCATGTTATTGTGATTTGAAACCTCTGACGTCAGGGAAGAATTTCATGTGGACATACCTTTAGGATTACACTGACAAGCATTTTATTGTGATTTGAAACCTCTGAACATCAGGGAAGAATTTCATGTGGACATACCTTTATGATCACACTGACAGAGGCATGTTATTGTGATTTGAAACCTTTGAAAATCATGGTAGAATCAATGTCGACATGCTCGTATGATTATATATCTACAGAGGCATCTTACTGTGACTATAAACCTCTTAAAGTCGGAGGGGAATATGTTGACATACCTTTAGGGACACACTGACAAAGGTATACTATTGTGATTTGAAATGTCATTGTGGCATCCATGAAGACGTAGCTGTAAGATTACATGGACTTAGGCATTTTAATTGTGATTTGAAACCTCTGAAAGTTAAGTTGCAATCTTTGTGTACATACCTGTGGGGTTACACTGACAGTCTATGCACCTATTCTCAGGTAATTTGCGGTAGTGGTTGACCAGACATCGTTCACAGTGAGCGCCGTCAGTGTTGTCGCGGCAGTCATCACAGTGCCCACCGTGGCCTGTACGTAGGTACAGCTCCTGGTCAAAGTGGCATCTGTTGGACAGGTTGTTGCAGTCACAGGCTGGAAGAATACACATCAGCATCATAGACATTGTCATGGCAGTGTATCATGGTGCCAGAGTGTTTGCATACAAATTGGCGCGGGTATGGTGCTGACAAACCTAGAAACATAATCGGGGCGAACCGGGATTCGAACCCACAATCATAGGTTTCTGGCGTGCCCAAGGGACGCAACTCTGCACAGCGAATCTCGGCGCCTTAGACGACTGGGCCACCCGTGCCCCCTAGCATCGTAATGAGTCCCAATTCGATTGACATGGTGCTTAAACATCGAAACAAATAACTGTTTCATGATTGAAACAAGCGGCAGTATCTCCAATACTCAACGTGCTTGATGAATACCATATCCCACATGCCATGGGAAAGTCTGGTTGCATAATATCTTACCTTCCCCATCTTAATACTTATGAACAAGTCTTTTCCATGTAAAATTTCATTAATAGGTCTTCTAATTCAAATCAATTCGAATCAATTCAAACAAGGCATGCCAAAGTCACGCTTGAGAGTGTCATTTCAATTGTTGATTACAAGTTCATGATCAAGCGAGAAAGATTCTGTGCTAAGTTATAGATAAAAAAACGAGCCTAAGAACCTGATTCATTTCGTTACGTTCAATGACAAGCATAGGTTCTGAACCCGAAATCCCCCCCCCCTTTGCTTCAAGAGGAAAAGAGGAACATAAGCAACTGATGTGACAGCAATACGAAGGTATATCAATATCAGAATAGAAGGTGTAACAAAAGTGAAATAAACAAACAAAAAACATGAAAAATCTATTCAGATTAAAAAATAATAATTTATGACAGTTGGCAGATGTTGCCAGACCATGCATGGTGAGCAGTACATCTTACCTTAGCTCACCTGGATAGAGCCGCAACAGAGAGAGGGAACGTGTATGCATCATAATCCCGTTTTACATATTTACAGCATATATTAACACTTCATATTTCATATCAAGACACACGAATAAATCTTGAATGATTAAGTAAACCTCAAATACAATTATACATATTATTTAACATTACGTAACTTTTGTCCCGATAGTCTTAACAAACAGCTCAACTTTTGAAATATGAAACATCAACGTCAGAAAACAATGAGTCTTAATAATCTTCCAAAACAGATTCCATCAGGTGCAAAGGGCAACTTATATGAATGGATCACTGAAAATCAGTGATGACCTCAGGTACTTGCCAAAAGTTGCAATAAGATAAGATTTTGAGTTGACTGCAGTCTTGGCAACACACGATGAGCATCCTCATATTATAGAAGGCAGCAAATAATAGTTAGTGATTTCATAGACCACTGAAATAAAACTGTCAAAGACAAGTAGAATTCAGGAAGGACTAATGGCGTTTGCAGGTTGACAACCACTCAGACCATTATGTTGAGTGAGTGAGTGAGTATGGTTTTATGCCGATTTTAGCAATATTCCAGCAATATAACGTCTGGGGACACCAGAAATGGGCTTAACACATTGTTCCCATGTTGGGAATCGAACCCGGGTTTTCAGCGTGACGAGTGAACATTTTAACCACTAGGCTACCCGACCGCACCCCCCGTAATGTCGATGACATCTATTGAGCAGATCATTTTTGCAGACTATTGAAAACGAAGATAAATGCTAAACAATGTAAGGATGACATTCAAAGCTAACAATGAGGTGACAACTATTTTAACACGTAACTGAGACTTACGTAGACATTCGTGTGCATCTGATTCAGTAGCTCTGGCCCATGGGATGTCATTGTAGAAGGGCAGGCACTCCCCACAGTCTGGTCCCTGTGTGTTGTGCTCGCACGTACAGATGAGCTCATCCTCCAGACCCTGGCTGGTCACCTCCTTGCACTCGCTGCCGTGGCCGTTACACTTACACCTAGACACCAGAAACACACATCACTGTCTCATGTCTACACCTTGTCACCTGCTTACACTGGGGGCCGTGGCCATTACACGAATAGCAAGACTAGGTTGCTGAAGACCTATTCTACCCCGGAATCATAGCTGGGATCATTTATATAGAGTTTTAGCGCCATTGACCGTGTAGTATCAGAGATACTGTTAAAAGAGAAAGACATGCCAAGAAAGGGATGATATGTTATACAGCATACCACATATACAGCATACCACATACCTGTGTATATCAAATTTCATAGAGATACATGCAGCAATGGCTGAGCAATGGGAGAAAATAACATTTTCAATATGGCCAAATTTAAGGTCAGATCGAAATTCTGTGAGCACATTTTAGGGACACTATAGCTTGGATCATCCATAAAAGTTTTAGTTTTAAATGCGTTGTATTTTTAGTGATATATATTAATTTTTTTTATTAAAAATGTAAAAATTAACATGGGACGGACAGGCAGGTTAACAAAAATAGATACCCTATTCGACGTAATAAGCGCCCCGCTCTAATAAGCGCCCACGGCGATATTTGCTAATATATTGACAAGTGAACAATCCCAATTAGCACCCCTTTGGATTGATCAATGTACACAAGACTTATTTATTCGCGAATAATACGCACTCGTGTGTTATATGCACCCTTAATTATAGGCAATTAAATTCTGGAAAAAGATATATGTCGTATATAAACATTTCAGGCTGTCAGCATAAACCACGAAATTTATCTTTCAACTCTGTTGTTTTTCACCAAAATAATATTCTAATAAGAGCCCCCTATTTCTAATTTTGAGAGCGCCCTGGGCGCTTTTTACGTCGAATACGGTATGCTGCAATCAAAGTGACATTTACAGTAAAGTACGGTTAACACGACCTCAAAGGGCAGGCCTCAAAGCTACAAGTATTTTTTTCCAGGTAGCCAGTGGTAAAATCAAGAAGTCAAGCCAATATTGTAGGTAGCCAAAGGTATTTGAAATTATCTTTTATCAAATAACTATTACATGTACAAGTCATAGCATTTGTCTTGGAATTGTATATTAGTGGAAACTGTACTTGAGTTTTCTTGTTTGTGACTCGAACAATGATGCAATTTATGTTTCTAGATTATGTAGGTAATATTTATGCATTTTATGCGAATTATTTGCGAGTACAATTAGTAGCAGACATGTTTATTTTTGTGTCTACATATGTGTAGACATAGAATTGAGTAGCCACAAGGTATTTTCAAGGTAGTCATTGGGCTACCTCTGAATTTTAAACAGCAGATAACTTGAAATTTAGGTCTCATAGGCAACCGTTTTAGTCGCAACTTTGAGGCCTGAAGGGACCACTAATATTAGTTCGTCATAACCGTAGTTCGTTATAAACATATATACAGTATATATACAGCAAAAGGCCGGGACCAAAATTAAATTTGTTATATCCATAAGTTTTTTATAAGCATGTTCGTTATAAACGTAGTTAACCGTATATTAAACTACTATTTGAAAGAAAACATTATTCAAGTGCAACAAAGCACATCCTTAAAATCAACAGGCATTTTAAATGTGACATCCTTGGTTCTCAATTCCAGCTTTTCTCATTTGTCTTTGGAATTAACACACAAAAAAAAAATTCTTGAATCATGGAATAAAATATTAATTAAGATCCCAACTGTGAGTGAGTGAGTGTAGTTACCTGGCACCGACAGCTAAATCAGATATGGCATAGAAATAGGACTTTAAAACTTGAGGGTCTCCAAACACTTCATCTCCAAAAGTGTTCATACGGGTCAGAACTATCTTGATGGCTGATGCCGTCACCCAGTCCTGGAAAGGAAAGAAAGTCAGATATTAGACACATATTTTATTTTACAATGAGCGTTATAATTTTGCTTCATGCTGATTGGCTACCTCATTAATGTTCCATTGTTGAAGAGGAGACCCATTCCAGTGCATAGAACACAATGTCGCAAATAACGGAAGATCATGTCATCCATTGTTCATTATGTCATAACGTTTCAACAACAGACAAACACTTGAGATCAGGAAAATAATTTTTTAATTTATATCTCAGAAAAAAGACTATGGGTAATATAATGAATAAAAAGTGTTCAACTAGACCAATATTCAGATCCAAGTCTGGTGCAAATGTCCATAAAAATTCGCAAATCATAAATTTCCCAATCTATGTTAATATGGTTATTACTAATGTTGTGGCTTTCTAGAGGTAACAGTCACTGATAACAGGACCAATAAAGACAAAAGAGTTTACTAAAGAGTTTACTAAGTTTACTGTGTTGTATGTTCATAGAAGTCAAATAATAACGGACACAAGACAGACATGTGAAAAGACAGGGCAGACATGGATGGACACAAGACAGACATGTGAAAAGACAGGGCAGACATGGACAGACAGAAGACTGTCATGTGAACAGACAGGGCAGACATGGACAGACAGAAGACTGACATGTGAACAGACAGGGCAGACATGAACAGACAGAAGACTGTCATATGAACAGACAGGGCAGACATGGACAGACAGAAGACTGACATGTGAACAGACAGGGCAGACATGGACATACAGAAGACAGACATGTGAACAGACAGGGCAGACATGGACAGACAGATGACTGACATGTGAACAGACAGGGCAGACATGGACAGACAGAAGACTGACATGTGAACAGACAGGGCAGACATGGACAGACAGAAGACTGACATGTGAACAGACAGGGCAGACATGAACAGACAGAAGACTGACATGTGAACAGACAGGGCAGACATGGACAGACAGAAGACTGACATGTGAACAGACATGGGCAGACATGGACAGACAGAAGACAGACATGTGAACAGACAGGGCAGACATGGACAGACAGAAGACTGTCATGTGAACAGACAGGGCAGACATGAACAGACAGAAGACTGACATGTGAACAGACAGGGCAGACACGGATAGACAGAAGACTGACATGTGAACAGACAGGGCAGACATGAACAGACAGAAGACTGTCATGTGAACAGACAGGGCAGACATGGACAGACAGAAGACTGACATGTGAACAGACAGGGCAGATATGGACAGACAGAAGACTGACATGTGAACAGACAGGGCAGATACGGACAGACAGAAGACTGTCATGTGAACAGACAGGGCAGACATGGACAGACAGAAGATTGACATGTGAACAGACAGGGCAGACATGGACAGACAGAAGACTGTCATGTGAACAGACAGGGCAGACATGGACAGACAGAAGACTGTCATCACACCACATGTTCAGAGCAACTGAATATTTAAAGATGCAAGACAGACACATGAAAAGACAGGCAGACATGGACAGACAAAGACGGATATTGCAACGCATGTTCAGAGTAGTTAAATAGTAACAGACAGTAGACAGACAATAATGGATAATGGACACAAAGAAGACATCACACCATCCAATAAAACCTATTGAGATCTTTAATTTTCAAGTCCTTTATTTAAATAAAGTATGTCAAGTATTAAACTGGGCTCATAGAGCAGGTGAAACACTACTTGTGAACATCCAACTTTGTTCTTGCCGATGTTGGATTTCAGACCTAGGATTGGTCGTCACACACCGATGAACGTCAGTTGCTTAAAAATACTTAAGAGAATTGTAAGACCTGCTCAACAGACCGGAGGTCATGCATGCAAACCTATTCATGAAATCCCACTTTTCACATGCAGTTTCTAAATGTCAACAAAAACGCCCCCTTCTCATGAATGAATCAGCAGAGTTTGTTAAAAGCTATATGATTACGCGATAAAAGCTTTCCATATTCACCGTCCTATTAACGATGATTCGGCAAATACGATTAAAGTTCCATTCATTTCAAGCAGTTCCGAGAGTGCAGCAGTGACAACTGTTAATCGTGTCATCACCTGCACCGATGTTGTGGTGGGCTGATGTGAGGTGATCCAGTGGGCTGACTTGCAGGGCCGGCCGAGCAGACGACAACATACGTTCAAAGTTAAACACACCTTGCCACTTCCTTATGCCCGCTCACTGAAGCACAACTCCAGTCAGGTGTAAACATTCTAAAATTTGACACAGGTGGGCTTAAATATGGGCTCAGTGTTTAGTTACTGTTTGTGTAAAGTCCTTTGACAGTTTTTCTCAGTTCATTGCCACTATTGACATAATCCCACACACATACGCAAATGTCTAGTAATAATCATGCTTTATTTTACGTAATGCAACACTTGTGGGGATGTTTGGCCTCGTACAATATCCCTTTGTCGCCAGATGGTATGTGCAAGTTTTTGATGCAACCATTCTGTCAGGTTGACAATTAACAACAACTTCAATCTGGATCCTTTGTCAGCACCATACCTGTGCTCATTGGTTTCACAAAAAAGGTAAACATCTGAGGCTTTCCTATCACATTAATATATGTGGTTTTCTGAGATAGCATGTGATTAAAATTAATGGCAGCCTTGAAGAGATTTTGTTCTTTTTTGTGTGTGGAAAGTGACTTTGATTGTTGATAAGGATCCCTACCTGTGAGTGGGTGGGTGGGTGGGTGGGTGGGTGGGTGGGTGAGTGGGTGAGTGAGTGAGTGAGTGAGTGAGTGAGTGAGTGAGTGAGTGAGTGAGTGAGTGAGTGAGTGAGTGAGTGAGTGGGTGGGTGGGTGGGTGGTTGGGTGGGTGGGTGGGTGAGTGGGTGGGTGGGTGGGTGGGTGGGTGGTTGGGTGGGTGGGTGGGTGGGTGGGTGGGTGGGTGAGTGAGTGAGTGAGTGAGTGAGTGAGTGAGTGAGTGAGTGAGAGTGATTTGTTTAACGCTGCACTCAGCAATATTGCAGCTATATGATGGCGATCTGTAAATAATCCAGTGATTGCTAACATGAGCATTGATCAGTGCAATTGGGATACGATGACATGCATCAATCAAGTCAGCGTACCTGAGTGAGTGAGTGAGTGAGTGAGTGAGTGAGTGAGTGAGTGAGTTGTTTAACGCTGCACTCAGCAATATTGCAGCCATATGATGCGATCTGTAAATAACCCAGTGATTGCTACCATGAGCATTGATCAGTGCAATTGGGATACAATGACATGCATCAACCAAGTCACCGTACCTGAGTGAGTGAGTGAGTGAGTGAGTGAGTGAGCGAATCTAGTTTTAGAAAGAAAGCTTGTTAATGACAAGCATTCCAATGACAGGAACCACTGCATAAAGAAAATTAATAGAGAGACCTCTTACAACTGACAAGCAAGCAAAGATAAGATACCCCAAGATCAGAGAACACTCATTGAATAAGCTTCCCTCTCTCAATAATCCCTAGTTTGTATTCTGGCCACATCAAAAGCTGTCCATGACTACCAAGCATGTTGAAGCTAGCAGAACTAATTGAAGCCAGGTTGGCAGGCTGCGTCCAATTTTGTGGTGAATGGAGCTAGGACACTATTGAGCATGTGCAGAACTCTGCCCATATCCTTATCTTCATTCATACAGTGCCGTAAAACACTAGGAGATGTGGGTCACTGATAGATGGGGGCTTGGAGTACCGTATTTATGTCTATTAGGGCACATGCTTGGGTAGGTAGGTGTGGGTCACTGATAGATAGGGACTTGGTGTACCGTATTTATGTCTATTAGGGCACATGCTTGGGTAGGCTTGGGTAGGTGTGGGAAATGTGGGTCACTGATAGATGGAGACTTGGAGTACCGTATTTATGTCTATTAGGGCACATGCTTGGGTAGGTGAAGGGGATGTGGGTCACTGATAGATGGGGACTTGGTGTACCGTATTTATGTCTATTAGGGCACATGCTTGGGTAGGTGAAGGAGATTTGGGTCACTGATAGATGGGGACTTGGTGTACCGTATTTATGTCTATTAGGGCACATGCTTGGGTAGGTAGGTGTGGGTCACTGATAGATAGGGACTTGGTGTACCGTATTTATGTCTATTAGGGCACATGCTTGGGTAGGTGTGGGAGATGTGGGTCACTGATAGATAGGGACTTGGTGGACCGTATTTATGTCTATTAGGGCACATGCTTGGGTAGGTGTGGGTCACTGATAGATGGGGACTTGGTGTACCGTATTTATGTCTATTAGGGCACATGCTTGGGTAGGTAGGTGTGGGTCACTGATAGATAGGGACTTGGTGGACCGTATTTATGTCTATTAGGGAACATGCTTGGGTAGGTGTGGGAAATGTAGGACACTGATAGATGGGGACTTGGTGTACCATATTTATGTCTATTAGGGCACATGCTTGGGTAGGTGTGGGAGATGTGGGTCACTGATAGATAGGGACTTGGTGGACCGTATTTATGTCGATTAGGGCACATGCTTGGGTAGGTAGGTGAGGGTCACTGATAGATGGGGACTTGGTGTACCGTATTTATGTCTATTAGGGCACATGCTTGGGTAGGTGTGGGAAATGTGGGTCACTGATAGATGGGGACTTGGTGTACCGTATTTATGTCTATTAGGGCACATGCTTGGGTAGGTGAAGGGGATGTGGGTCACTGATAGATGGGGACTTGGTGTACCGTATTTAGGTCTATTAGGGCACATGCTTGGGTAGGTGTGGGTGATGTGGGTCACTGATAGATGGGGGCTTGGTGGACCGTATTTATGTCTATTAGGGCACATGCTTGGGTAGGTGTGGGTGATGTGGGTCACTGATAGATGGGGGCTTGGTGTACCGTATTTATGTCTATTAGGGCACATGCTTGGGTAGGTAGGTGTGGGTCACTGATAGATAGGGACTTGGTGTACCGTATTTATGTCTATTAGGGCACATGCTTGGGTAGGTGAAGGGGATGTGGGTCACTGATAGATGGGGACTT